ATTTTCATCTTTCAGTTATCTTGTTCCTCTCTTATTCACTGTACAGATGTCCCAACAGAGATTTAAGACCCATCATTATTTTACTAGTGAGGAAACAAGTAGAGAAAATTAAGTAACACATCTAAAGTTACTCAGTGACAGAATTAGGAACAAGGCAACATATGCATTTATTACCGGTAGATAGAACATGGACTCTGAATTTAGAAATTCTGCCAATAACAGATATTTTTTTCCCTTATGCATTTAAATCGTCCTATTTTGTGCTCCTTGCCCCCTCTCATTTAAAAGTGAATGGAATATACCAGGTGAATTCCTTCCAAATATTTTGTATGTTCAATTGTGTGTTTTTTTCCTAAATAAAATTATGAAATTCCCAAATATAAAACAAGCAAAATTAGAGATGCTCTAGCCGTATCAATACTGGGAAGTCTAGAGACTTTTCTGTTTGGCCTATCTTGCATCACATTTTGCTATATTTTCCTTCCTATTAGAAATGATTTTGAGTTAAAGGAAATAGGACAAAAAGAAATATAGCAAATATATTCAATTAACCAAATCATGGATGGCTATTGAGTGACAAAAGCAAATGCAAAGAAGGAGGGGCCACTGTGGGCAGAAGAAAGGATAATGTCACATGCAGCTTAAAGCAAACAAACAAATATACATACAAAAAACTCCCCACTTCAAAATGACACCAACCCTTCTTAGTCTATCCCTTGCTTTCCAACGGCAATGTCAGGACAACGTGGTAAAGTACAGCATAGGAAATATAGTCAATAATATTATAATAACTATGTATGATGGCACTTGTATATTGGAAATAACAGAGAGAACATTTTGTCAAGTATGATTGTCTAATTGTTATCAGTGAGTATAATCTGTGTCCTCATCTATGGACGTGGAGTTCTTGCGATGTTCAAGGAAAGGGATTTCCTGAGACTCACACAGGAGGATGAGTGATCTTTATTTCCATGGGATTAAACCACTGGGTCTCCAATGTTACATTTTCCTGTGTTCTGCATGGAAGAAGTCCAATCTTGTCTTCAGTAGGGTAAGAATTAAGACTACTTCCTGGTGTCTTCACTCCATATTAAAGCACAGTCCAGTCCAGCATCCTACATATAGAGTCTGCACGGCCTTGGGCCACGGGGTTGCTTAAGATTACATGGCTATGGAGAGAGAGCAGACAATGCATGAGATGAGTGTGGGTCACAGAGCAAGAGCATCAGAGCATAGGAGCAGAACAAGACGTGTAAGAGGGGCAACAGAGAGGGTGCTCTTTGTCTGGGGATTATAACCAGGAATGTAACCCATTAACCCTTCAAGATTGCATGTGCTTGCTGTGGCTTCACCACCCATAGTCAATTGCCTTTTGCCCAGGTTAGACTGACAAGCAAGCACCTTCTCTATGTCATCCCAACTTCACTGTGCATAAGTCCATCTCCCCTTTTGTTGGATTCATTCCCCTAGTGATCTGGAGGAAATGGACAGGTGATTTTTCTGGGGAGTGTGAAACTATAGCTTTTTGGTGATGCTGCCCAGATGGTCATGCTTATAATGCCTGGCCTCTCATTTTCTCTCTTCCTATCCTATATAATAAAAGCCTAATATACAAATTGATCAAACTATGGAAAGACCAGTGGAATGACTGGTCGCTATGATGCACACTGACCACCAGAAAGCAGATGCTCAATGCAGGAGCTGCCCCCAGCTTGCAGGCCCCCGGCCAGCCAAAGTGGGTGCCAGTGAGGGCCCTGCAATGGCCCTGCCAGTTGCCCCGTAAAGGGAGGCAACCAGTGGTGGCAGTGGGGGGTAGGGCCAGCAAGTGGGTATGCCAGGCTGGCCAAAGTGGGTGCCAATCAAATTGCCCACCCCCTTACTCCCCTGATCGCCCCGCCGGTTGCCCTGCAGATCGGCCCTGATCATCAGTCAGGCCTAGAAACTCTACCCATGCATTTTGTGCATTGGGCCTCTAGTTATTAATATTAATAACTAGATAATCATAACAATTATGCTATGCACCAGAACCTAATAGAATATAATATTTGAATATAAAAAATAAAATATAAAGGAAGAAAGAAAGAAAAAAAGAAAGGAAGGAAGAAAGGAAGAAAGGAAGACAACTTCGTTATGATTTGGGGCTAGAAATTGGAATTACCTAAAATTTATTTCTTAGTTCATAAAAAGTATAAATATGTTTGTTTTCTGCCCATCTTCCTCATTAGAGAGTATACTGAGGCACTATGCTAGACATCAGACTCAGAATACCAATAGAGAGATGCTCTGTGTCTTCTCAGAATACCAATAGAGATAGAATGCTTGTCCTTTTGGAGTTTATCAACTAAATCAGACAATAGAATTTAGTAATTTAGACTATAATATATAAAGGTACTTGTATATATTTTAAAGTATTTCCTGTTACTTACATACATTCCTTTATACATCAACCCAACATATATTTATTGATAACTTGCAATGAATCAGAAGCTAGTCTAAGTTCTTTGAAACTAACAGTGACAAAGACAAGCAAGATTCTTAATTCATGGAGTTTACAAACATGTGGATGAGTGAGTCTAATCATAAACAGATGAGATATATCCAAGTATTATAAAGTGCTTTAAAGAAATAACAAACAATTGTATGATATGATTCAGACGGACATGATTCAGGCATCCTGGTTGTATTCTGTTTCAGACTGAGTAACTAAGGAAGACCTATTGGAGAGTGATATTTGAACTGAAAACTGATTATCAAGAAAAATTCCACCAGGCACAGTTCTCAAAGCAAAGCACTTCAGCCTATGTGGAAGTTCAAAGTTCCTGAGTCAAAAATAAAATTGGTATGTTCCTGTGATTTAAAAAAAGAAGGCTGGTGTTCTTACAAAGGGAAGATGGTTAGGAAATGAAGCTAGAGTGGTAGTCAGACATTATATCATTTAGATTCATTTAGGGAAGAGACGCTATCCCAAGAAGTGTTCATTAGGCAATAAGTGGTGGTGGTGAATTGTCTGTAGAGAATGAAAAAAATAAAGTGTACTAAAAGTCAGCCTGCTTTTTAGTATCACCATTTATCATACTAAACAATGTCAGTGATAAAATATTCCCTGAAAGTATATTTTGTCGGCCAAAGCCTTTAAACAATTATTGTGGTTCCTGTTAAGTTTTAAAACTATCTGTTTATCTAGTAGTCTATACAGTCAATTCTTGTTATTCATGGCAAAGATCTATGAAGTCACAAAAAACCCTGAATAACTATTGCTTCTGGTTAGGTTCCTATAAGCCTCTGGCCATGATTTCATCAACAGATTAATATACAAACTTGTCTGGGGAGCAGGCCTAAGCTGGCAGGCAGACATCCGCCAAGGGCTCCCAGACCGTGAGAAGATGCAGGCTGGGCAGAAGGACCCTCCTTCCATGCACAAATTTTGTGCACTGGGCCTCTAGTACAATTATAAATTATTTACCTGCTCTTTAAGATGTAAAATCTACCACCCCAAACTTTCTTCAAGGACCTTAGAGACAGCTCTTTGGAAGCATTCAGTGAGTTAGGGAGAAAACGCTTGCTCTCCCAGTCCCTGTGGGAGGGAGGATAGGGTGTGTAACTTCAGTGGGAGCACCATTCAGTTTCAACAGGCACCATGGCTTCCTGTCATAAGGACAGATGTTTTTTTCTCTTCTGGATAACTAAAATGAACAAATCCTCATGATCTAGTCACATGGATTAACTCCCCTTAATGCCACTCAGCGACTTTTTCTTAGCATACACCAGCCTTTAAAAAGTCTCTAGCCTTTTGTTTTGGGGAAGTTGTGTACAGTCCACGCTGGTCCACTTCTCTATTTCTTTCAGTAGGAAAGAAAGATTACTGAAGGAAATATGTCCTCACTGCTTCAGTGTTACATGCCTCCTTCATTCTACTTGCTTCAAAGTCTTGTAAATGGGTTGGATACATTTCTAGTTTCCAACAATGATACGTGTTTTGGGGGACATTACTATGGCAATTGGAATACTGAAAACAACAACATTTAGTGTAATATTTCAGCCCCAGAATTCTCTATAATGTTACCAGCAATATAAGTGTATGAAATGGTGAATGAAGCAATGTAACAAGCAAAAGATCTTACATTTTCCATCAAGAGTAGATGTTAGTTTGATTCCTTGCTTCAATATTTTTACTACCTTCTTAAAACTGAGCAAACGACTAAAATTACTGTGTTTTAATTTTTTCATTTAAAAATAGGAAAAATAATACCCATCACATGGTCTTGTTGGAAAATTAAGATAGAATGAGAAAACATGCTCACTGGCTAGTACCTAGCTTATAGTAATTGTTCAATAAATAATTACTACTTTGTATTATCAATCCCTGGCAAATTCCAAAGAAATTTGTTTAGTCTCTGTTGTTAAAACAATGTGTCTTTTCATAGCATCCTTCATATACCTATCTGTAGGTTTCCACTATGAGAGAATGAGTTTATTCATTTATCCTTATATTCCCAGCTCCTGCCATTTCAAAAGATGGGCATTCAATATATGTTTAGTGAATGTGTGAGTACATGAATAAATGAGTGAATGCATAGTAAAACAAAGTAATGATAAAATTAAAGTACCAAAATTGTTTGATAGTTTACATAGGTCAAACCAATTAATGATGTAAAATTTATTTGTGAAAGTAATGAAAAGAGCATAAAATATTAATCTTTTTTATGTTTCTTATTTTTGGTCTGAAATAAAGACCTGTCTGTGGTGCTGTCTTACAATTTTTTTAAAGTCATCAGTCTCTAGAAACAGGATCTAAAGATACAAATGGGAACTTACGGCATAGTTTTCATTTCCTGCTTTTGGATAACTGGTTCTACTACTTAAGCTCAACTTGTTAAAGCTCATTAAATGCATAACCCATATGACTTGCTTCATAGATCCTGTTTGGTCCACAGACAATTGTCTGAGAAGAGAGGGAAGAGCTCTCAAATGCTGTGTCACTTGAGGAACTCAGTGGAATAATGGCATACCGATCTGATCTAGAAAATTTGGATGAAGATGGATATACTCAATTACAGTTCAGCTCGAGAGGCATCACCAGGAGACCTGTGTCCTCAGAGAAAGGTATTTTTCTCTTTCTGCCTTTCACATTTTCATTCTCATCAACTAAAAAACTTAACCAAGTGGAGAGAATTTGAAGGACTTGTGAATGTAAGGGTTTTATTAATATACATATATTATTTTTCAAAAAACGTTTAGTTTTTAGAACAGTTTTAGATTTAAAAGCAAATTGCAAAAACAGTACAAAGTTCAGAAAACCTTTTAAAATATTAGTACATTAGTACATTAATATAAGTGTTTTAAAAGGTTTTCCAAAGTAACTGAAGATAAGCCTTTTCTTGTAGCAACCATTCAATGACTAATTATTCATATTTAAATTAATTATGAGGATGATAGAAAGTACAATATCTGTTCTACAGAAATAGATCAGCAGCAAGGAACTGGTAATAAGTATGATAAGCTGCAAAGATGAAAGAATTTCAATAAGAGTGACTAGTTTCATAGAAGTAAATTGTAGAATAGAGGTCAAGAAAACTGAAAGAAGTATATACATAAACCATATCAACATATTAGAGATAAGAAAGAGAAGAATGAAAAGATGGAAGATAGGTGAGAGATAAAAACAAACTTGTGGTTTTGTGGAAAAGGCCAAAGGGAAGTTGGAAGTTATAGGCTTTAGAATACTGAATCTGATATTTTTTTGTGTGTGTAAGAGCTTGATTTGGATGTTTTTAAAAAACAAAAAGAATTTTTTGTAACCAGTAAAGAAAAATATATGTCTTAGATGAAAAGATCCTATTAGTAACACATGAGTCTTAAAAAAAAAAAATGTGAAAGAAGTGGAATATGGAGAAGAGCAATAAAAGAAGAACATTGTTCTTCCATTTAGTCTCCTCTATAATTCTCCTAATCTGACAATTCTCTGAAGTGCTCTTAACTACTTATTCTTAGTCAAAGGCAAAACTATATTCTTAGAGTGGTGATGCTAACATAAAACGAGTTCCCTATTATCAAGAAAAGGATTTGATATCACTGGGTTTGACATCAGAATTTGCTTTCTTCTGCTTTCTGGCCATTCACGTTGCACAATTATTTTGCTCTCACCGCTTACACAATTCTTTTTTGGGGCAACCTGTTGGGGAAGAGTGGAAAAACTGGATGATGCAAGAGGTAGGGAGGTAGGTGTGTGTTCATGCATATGTGTAGACACAGTGAATTACCTATAATCTGCTAGTAGTCTCTAAACTAGGTGCTTTTCCATGTGTTAGCTTGCTTAATTCCCACAAATTATTCTTTGAAATAGTATTACTTCATTTTTCCCAAAGAGAAATTTTTTGAAAAAAGAAGTAATTTGTCCAAAGTCATGCAACACCTATATAAAAAGGGAAGATCACCTGTAGCAATCTCACTATTGAATGGGATGAAGCTGTTTCTTCTAAGAATGAATGGAATTTCAGGAATCCTGATAATGTCAAGACTTATAGACATTAATGTGTGGCTGAAATTAGGAGTGCATAGTTATAAAGGCACTGTGCTCAAATTACAATTCCAGAACTCAAAAAGATATGCTAAAGGTGGGTAAAAAATCAGACTAATCTCAGATAACTAGATAATCAGGATACGAGTGATTAATATTCATTTCAGAATTTTCCAGATTTGGATGAATTGTAGAGTTGAAGTGTACCACAAGCCATCATCTTATTTCTTTTTTAAAAAATATGTTTCTCCCCTAGCCAGTTTTTTTCTCAGTGATTAGAGTACCAGCCTGCAGACTGAATGGTCCTGGGTTCAACACCAGTCAAGGGCACAGCCTGAGTTGTGGGCTCAATCCCCAGTGGAGGGTATGAAGGAGGCAACAAATCAATGATTCTCTTTTATCATTGATATTTCTATCTCTCCCTTTCCCTTCCTTTCTAAAATTAATAAAAAATATAAAAAATAAATAAAATAAAATATGTGTCTATTGATTTCAGGGAAAGGAAAGCAGTAGAATAGAGAGATAAAAACATCAATAAGGAAAGAGAATCATCTATTGCCTGCCTGCTGCATGCCCCCTTCTGGGGATTGAGCCCAGAAGGCATTTGCCTTGCCTGGGTATTGAACCATGATCTCCTGGTTCACAGGTTGATGCTCAACCACTGAGTCACACTGGCCAGGCATCTTATTTCTTCATCTAATCCCTGTCCCCTCTGTCTCCATCAGGACCTTGTGCTGCATCTCTTTCTTGGCGTTCCATTGCTGTGACTTTGGGAATCCTATGCTTGGTAATACTAGTGATAGCCATAGTCCTGGGTACTATGGGTGAGTACTACTGTAGGACATTAACAGCAACATATATTTAACAAGCATTTATAATGTGCCAGACATTTTTTAAAAAGCTTGACATGCATAATGTAATTTAGTCTATATATTAACCCTATTTAATTGGTGCTATTAATCCTCATTTTATTTATAAGGGAAGTAAGAGTCTGGGAGGCTATTTTACTTTTTTTTTTTTTAACGCATTTTATTGATTTTTTTACAGAGAGAAAGAGAGAGGGATAGAGAGTTAGAAACACCGATGAGAGAGAATCATCAATCAGTTGCCTCTCGCACATCCCCTACATGCCCTTGACCGGAATCGAACCTGGGACCTTTCAGTCCGCAGGCCGACGCTCTATCCACTGAGCCAAACCGGTTTCAGCCTTTTACTTTTTAAGGATCATAAACTAGTTAGTGGTAGGACCATGATTAGGAATTTGGGCAATGTGTCTAAAAAACTCATACTCTGAACTACATTGCTTCACTATCTCCCTGGTTTAAAGCTGTGGAATTTCTGGAATAACCTAATGAAAGGAAACCTGCGGAAGTGAAGAAGAAAGTACAAAGTGGTGCTATCTTTCTAATAAAATAAATTCCCTAACAAGACTATAAGCTATTCTGATACCTCATGATTTAAGAAAACTGTTTTATATCTCATCTTTAATAGAAATGCTGGATGGTAACAGAAGAAATTACCTGAGGCACTTACTAAGTACTTAGTAGATATTTTGTAATGGATGAATAAATTCCCTTAGATTTTATACCTTATGCATTCTATTGTCAATAAGGTACTATTTTGCCTTCAGAGAGTATTTATTAGATTATTTAATTATCAAGTGTTTATTGAGTACAGTCTACTTTATAGGTACTGGGCAGGTTCTCAAGTAGCTCTCATTTTTAAAAATTTAAAAAAAGAAAGAAGATTTGTTATTATTTCAAATTTATCATAGCTCCAATTGACTTTATTCTATGTGCTTCTTTATATTTAATACTCTCTCTTCTTCTCTGCTTTATTTTTTCTTTTTTTTACTATGCCATCTTCATGGAAGTTGTTTTCCTCCCAACTATTTAATCTGTCTATCATCTATTTATCTACCAGCTATCAATCTTTACCTCTGCATCAGCAATGTGTTATCTGTTTATTGTTAATAAAAAATGTATTTCTTTCCTTGGTTCGTATGGCTCAGTTGGTTGAAGTGTCGTCTCATGCACCAAAGGGTCACTGTCAGTTCCCAGTCAGAGTACAGGCCCAGATTACAGGTTCCATTCCTTGTCTGGGTATGTGTGAGAGGCAAATGATCAAAGCTTCTCGCATCAACGTTTCTCTCTCTCTCCTTTTTCCTTACTTTCTTTCTAAAATTAGTAAAACAAACAACAACAAAAACTCATATCCTTGGGTGATGATTAAAAAAAAAAAAGTATCTCTCTGGCCATCATCAGTCTGCTGTCTATATCTACAAATCTGTTTCTATTTTACTTGTTCATGTATTTTGTTCTTTATATTCCATATATGCTATAAGTGGTATGGTATTGGTCTTTACCTGTCTGACTTACTTCATTTAACATAATATCTTCTAAGATTTCATTCTTTTTTATGGCTTAGTCATATTTCATATATATATATATATATATATATATATATATATATATATATATATATAGAGAGAGAGAGAGAGAGAGAGAGAGAGAGAGGACAGAGAGGAAGGAGAGTGTCTATTGATGGTTGCTTGGGTTGTTTCCATATTTCCATATCTTGGCTATTATAAATAAGACTATAGTGAACACGGGATGCATATATTCTTTTGAATTAGTCTTTATATTATAATAAACATATGAATTTTGGAGTTTAAATTTTCAAACATAGTAGAATGATCCTTTTGTCACTATTGTTGGCATATAAAGGTATTTGGAGATCCAATTCTGGAAGCAACTCATTGAAGAATGACAATTTTCCATCAAGAAATAAAGAGAACCACAATCAACCCACACAATCATCTTTAGAAGAGACTGTGGATTCTCCCAAGGCTCTCACAACCACAGGCAAGGGCAAAGTTAAATAGTTAATGGAATTCTTGATTCAGAAGGGTTAATTATTGGTGTTCTAGCCTGGAAGGGTTGGGGAAGAGAAAATTTTTACATGCAGTGATTGTGCATTCAAAGAAAGTACATATCAGTATTATCTCAGTCTAAAATGTCCCTGTCATATATACAATGAAGTTATTATTATAACTATCCATGTACTTGGCTGAACAGTTCTAAGTTGGATTCCACCCCCCTCCCCAAGTCAGTAACTCATTTATCCCTGTCTATATGTTTAGGCCTACAGGAGATTTTATAATTTGAAATATATTATTTGCCTTTGGGGAATTGACATTTTACAGTAATATAGTAAGAATAAAAAATAGTGCATCAGAAAGGAAAAAAGGGAGAGATAAGGAAAAGAAGGAAACATGTTGGCAAGAATTAAGAGGCTAAATGACACACGTATAAGAGATAGAACTAATAGATATGTTCCTGAAAACTCTAGTTAAATTAACTTTTTATCACACAATTTCACTATAATTTTATATACATTTTATAAAATTGTATCTAATTGTATCATCTAATTGTATCATAATTGAATATGACACTTTTACTTCAATTTTCCTTCTGTGTGCCCAACCTTCCTTATGATTTGTATCAAGTAGCTAATATTATGAAACATCAATAATCTGTAATGTGAATAACTGTTCTTATACTTTTTTCATTTGGAAAATTGCCTTCTGAAATGGATCTCATACCTGTAAAAAAAGTTAACATGAAATTACCATATACCTCATGATTTATTTTAAGAATTATGAAGAAAGGGAGTTCCTAGCTGAATTTGAAGGAATGATTGCTAAGAAATACAGGAAGATTGACTGTCTAAAACACTTTTATAATTAATTCATTTTTAAATTTTAAATGAATGGGGAAATTTTAATATGTCCTATTTTGTAAAATCATATTCTTATAGTTTGAATTGAAATGGAAATATTTTGATGGTGAATCATTAATTATTTATTGTGGCCTCAGGATTCATGGTACTTGCACCACATCATAGTTATCTTCTATTTCCAGGAGTTCTTTCTAGCTCTTGTCCCCCTAACTGGATTGCACACGAGAGTAGCTGTTACCTTTTTGGCACATCATTGAATTCTTGGAATGAAAATAAAAGACAGTGCTCTCAACTGGATTCTTATCTCCTGAAGATAGATAGTTCAAAAGAATTGGTAAGTATAGATTAGTCTATACTGAGCAGAAAAATAGAGATAGATTCCAGGTAATTATAATCTTCCTTAAGAAAAACTGATATTGAAGGAGAATCAAGATGGTGGCATAGGTGAACACCTATACTTGCTGCCTCTAACAATCACATAAAAATTACAACTAAAAGGCAGAACAACTACCACCCAGAACTGTAGGAAAGCTGGCTGAGTAGAAATTCCACAACTAGAGAGATGAAGAAAGCTCATTGAGACTGGGAAGAGGTAAAGAGGCATAGAAAGTGCTGGCACCTGGATGTGCTGCTCCTTTAATCAGGAGGGAGATACAAGCTCCCACTTGTCTGAATTCCAGTTCCAGGTAAGACTCTGGGGGATCCAGACACATACGGGGAGAAACTGGACTGTCTGGCATCAGGATAGGAACATGAGGGCAGCTTTCTCTTATAAGTACTCGCAGCAATCATTGTTCCTGCATAGGGACATGGGATGCAGAGACCTGGGAATCTTTCCAGTGCAGGGTTGACTGGCAGCCATTGTTATTTGTTCTGCCCTGTTGATTTTCAGAGACCTCACCACATCCAGTTTACAACCCCACCCAAGCTATAGGCATGAGCTTTTGTATATGAATGGCCTGTCCTTTCTCTGCCTAAAACCAGTCAAACTGCAGCTGGGTCAGAGAGCCTCAGAGCTCCCAAAAGAAGGTCCAAAGCCTGGCAGCAACAGCTGGCCTTGCTCCACAGCTGGACCTCATCTAGGCACTCCAAAGCAAATACAAAGAAGAGGAATCTGCAGATGTCTCTGTAGCTCCTGCTGGGTGGCCCCAGACAGTGGCTAACCTTACACCTCCTTGGAGATCCAAGAGCCAGTGTACTCAGTGATCAGAGTGAGACCATACTGGATTACAACTCTTCACATCCATAAGAGACACACTCAAAGGGCAGACTCGGTGAGCACCAAAGCCCCACTGAAGCAAGTCCTGCCCCATAAGGGTGTCTCCTGCACAACAGATCTTCCAGTGTAGATACATCTGGTCATCATAGCCAATTGGCCTTAAGGTCAGTTTCTCCCAGTGAAACCAACAGCAATCAAGGGTTAACTACAACAAGACTCTGCAAACAGCCCACAAAAGGGTGCACCAAGAGTGTCCACCTCAAGTGACTGAGGAGGCTGAGCCACTGGGCCCTATAGGACACCTACCACAAGGAAACTTAGTAACTACCCAGGACATAGAAAAATACACAGGGAAGCAGCCAAAATGTAGAGACAAAGAAAAAGGTCACAAATGAAAGAAATGGCTGAAAGTAAAAATACTGAATATAGAATTTAAAACCATGGTTATAAGGTTACTCAAGAATCTTCTAGAAACCTCTGAGAAATTTAGTGAGGTCCTCAAGGATATAAAAAAGGACCAACCAGAAATAAAGTATACACTGACTGAAATAAAGAATAATATAGAGATTCAACAGCAGACTAGAATATCCCAAGAATCAAGTCAAAGATTGGAAATATGAAAAAACAAAAAACACCCAACTGGAAAAGCAAAAAGAAAAGAGAATCCAAAAATGTGAAGATAGTGTAAGAAGCCTCTGGGACAACTTCAAGCATACCAACATAAGAATTATGAGGTTGCTAGAAGAAGAGAGAGAGAACAAGATATTGAAAACCTATTTGAAGAAATAATGACAGAGTACTTCCCCTACCACTTAGAAGTCTATGAAGTGCAGAGAACCCCAAACAAGAGAAATCCAAAGAGGACCACACCAAGACATATCATAATTAAAATGCCAAGGGCAAAAGACAAAGAGAATCTTAAAAGCAGCAAGAGAAAAACAGTTAGTTACCTACAAGCTGATTTCTCAACAGAAACTATGCAAGCCAGATAGGAGTGGTGAAATATATTCCAAAGTGATGAATAGCAAGAACCTACAACCAAGATTACTCTACCCAGAAAAGCTATCATTCAGAATTGAAGGTCAGATAAAGAGCTTCACAGACAAGGAGAAGCTAAATGAGTTCATCACTACCAACCCAGTATTATATGAAATGCTGAAGGGTATTCTTTAAGAAGAGGAAGAAGAAGAAAAAGGTAAAGAAAAAATTATGAACAATAAAGTGACAACAAATACACATCTATCAACAAGTAACCTAAAAATTAAGTCAATAAAAAATCTGATGAACAGAATAAACTGGTGAATGTAATAGAATCAGGGGCATGCAAAGAGAGAAGACTGACAATTCTCAGGGGGCAGAGATTGGACAAAAAGCTTACACCTATAGATGAGTTCAGTGGGTGCCTGGAGTGGGGTGGGAACCAGGTGGAGGGGAGCTATGCGGGTGGGGAGGGGGGGAAGGAGAAACAATTGTAACAATCTGAGCAATAAAGATTTATTTAAAAAATAATTTAAAAAATAAAAAAGAGGAACATCTGTAATAATCTGAACAAAAAAAATTAAGTTAAATAAAATAAAAGCAAAAAATGTGATATTTATTATTCTTCATAATTATATTAATAGCATGCATTAATTAGATACTGTTTATAAATTATGCTTTCCATTTTGATTAATTAATTAAAAAATAAGCACATTGTATTTTAAAATAAATCTTTCTGAATACACTGTAAGTTTGCATGACTATAATAATCAGGCAACTACTAATTTTCATGGGTTTGGATTTCAATTTTTAAATTTGGTGATAGAATATTATCTCCCTTGTCATTATAATTATCAAGAAATATAGCTGCAATAATAATATATCTTTATACAAAATGTACTCCTTAAAATATATTGGAAAAGGCAAAAGAAGTGAAAAAGTAAACTTGATATTACAATGCTCATGTAATTTGTAAGAAAAAAGAAACAACTACTGTTAAAAGTTAAACACTTGGGCCCTGACTGGGTGTCTCAGTTTATTGGAGCATCCTCCTGTACATTAAAAAGGTTGCTAGCTCATTTCCTGATCAGGGTACATAACTAGGTTATAAGTTTGATCCCTGGTCATGGTGCATATAGGATGCAACTGATCAATGTTTCTCTCTGTCTCTTCTTTTCTAAAGTCAATAAAAAATATCCCTTGCTGAGTATTTTTTAAAAAGTTAAATATTTGGTATTGACAACAAATGTGATAAGAATTCAGAGGTGGAACTTACAACTCATCATGACTGAAGTTGAGGACTAAGATGGCCTATAGGAAGGGGTAGTAGTCAGGAAACATTCTACACTATGAATTTAAACAAATTAAATGAAATGACTGAAGAAATGAAATAGGCCTTTTGAGACACTCAGTGGTACTCAAGAATTGACAATTCTCTCAAGGTTGATGCAAGTGTACACATGCATCCTTCACCAAGGTGACTCACGGTGTCTATAAGAACATCTCTCTGTCTTTCTATCTCTATCATCTCTGTTTATCTCTCTCTTCTTGACGTGTATTTGTGTTTATGTTTCCCTACAGGAATTTATAACAAAGCAAGTGTCTTCCCAACCTGATAACTCATTTTGGATAGGGCTCTCTCGTGCTCAGGCTGAAGGACCCTGGCTCTGGGAGGATGGCTCAAAGTTCTCTCCTAACTTGTAAGTATTTAGAGCAGTGATTCTCAACCTTCCTAATGCCGCGACCCTTTAATACAGTTCCTCATGTTGTGCTGACCCCCAACCATAAAATTATTTTTATTGCTACTTCATAACTGTAATTTTGCTACTCTTATGAATCGTTATGTACATATCTATATTTTCTGGTGGTTTTAGGTGACCCCTGTGAAAGGGTCGTTTGACCCTCAAAGGGGTCTCGACCCACAGGTTGAGAACCGCTGACCTAGAGAGACAAATTCTCATACCCTTTCTTAGAAAGGGAAGGACATATCAAGCAGTTAAGAATCTGACTTGCCTCTTCTACCCAGTTCCCATTCCACCCCAGGCCTTTACCACCCTATTGTCTATGTCCATGAACAATGCATATCTATATATAAATAAAAGGAGTTTGATCATTCACTATGATGTGAACTGACCATCAGGGGGCAGCGCAGAATGAAGGAAGGCCCAGGCCTGCAACTGGCAGCCAGTAGGCAGCAGCCAGCAACTGGTGAAGGAAGGCCCCAATTGGCCCTGATCACCCGCCAGGCCTAGGGACCCTACCTGTGTATGAATTTCTTTCACCGGGCCTCTAGTATGCATATAAATTCTTTAGTTAATCTTTTTCTGCCACCCTCACTTCCCTCTTAGAGATTACAGATATAAATTAAATCTTATGGTATTTGTCTTTTTCTGTCCGACTTATTTTACTTAGCATAATATGCTCAAGATCCATCCATGTTGTCACAACTTATAAGATTTCAATTTTAAAAATTTTTTAAAACTTTATTTATTTTTTTATTAAATTATTATCTGTGTACATATTTTAACATTGCCCCCCCCCCATATATACCCTCCCTCCCCAGAGTTTTGTATCCATTGGTTGTACTTATATGAATGTATACAAGTCCTTCGGTTGATCTCTTATCTCCCTACCCTCCCCGCTGTAATTTGACAGTCTGCTTGTTGCTTTACTGTCTTTATATCTGTCTTTTGGTTCATCAGTTTATAATGTTCTTTAATATCTATAAATGAGTGAGGTCATGTGGTATTTCTCTTTCGTTGAATGGCTTATTTCACTCAGCATGATGTTCACCAATTCTATCCAGGTTGCTGCAAATGATGAGAATTCCTTCTTTTTTATGGCAGCATAGTATTCCATTGTGTAGATGTACCTTCGTTTTTTGATCCAATCATCTGCTGATGGGCACCTAGGCTGTTTCCAGATTCTAGCTATTGTAGATTGTGCTGCTATGAACATAGGGGTGCATATATCCTTTCTGATTGGTGTTTCTAGTTTCTTGGGATATATTCCTAGGAGTGGGATTACTGGGTCATATGGGAGTTCCATTTTCAGTTTTTTGAGGAAACTCCATACTGTCCTCCACAGTGGTTGCACCAGTCTGCATTCCCACCAGGAGTGCACGAGGGTTCCTTTTTCTCCGCAACCTCGCCAACACTTATTGTTTGTTGATGTTGGCTATTCTGACAGGTGTGAGATGGTACCCCATTGTTGTTTTGATTTGCATCTCTCAGATAATTAGTGACTTTGAGCATTTTTTTCATGTGCCTCTTGGCCTTCCTTCTGTCTTCTTTTGAAAATATTCTATTTAGGTCCATTGCCCATTTTTTAATTGGATCATTTATTTTCCTTTTATTTAGTTGTATAAGCTGTCCATAGATGTTGGAGATTAAACCTTTATCAGTGGTAACATTTGCAAATATGTTCTATACAGTGGGCTTTCTTGTTGTTTTGTTGATGGTTTCTTTTGCTGTAAAAAAGCTTTTTATTTTGATGTAGTCCCATTTGTTTACTTTCTCTTTAGCTTCCATTGCCCTAGGGGCAGTATCAGTGAAGAAGTTCTTTTGGCATATGTCTGAGATTTTGCTGTCTGTGGATGCCTCTAGTATTTTTATGGTTTCCTGTATTATGTTTAAGTCCTGTATCCATTTTGAGTTTATTTTTGTGTATGGTGTAAGTTGGTGATCTAGTTTCATTCTTTTGCATGTATCTGTCCAAGTTTCCCAACACCATTTATTGAAGAGACTGTCTTGACTCCATTGTATATTTGTGCCTCCTTTGTCAAATATTAATTGAGCATAGAGATTTGGGTTTATATCTGGGTTCTCAATTCTATTCCATTGATCTATATGTCTGTTCTTGTGCCAGTACCAGGCTGTTTTGAGAACAGTGGCTTTGTAATACAGTTTGAAGTCTGGTATTGAGATCCCTCCTACTTTATTCTTCTTTCTCAGGATTGCTGTGGCTATTCGGGGTTTTTTATTGTTCCAAATGAACTTTTGGAGAGTTCTTTCTAGGTCAGTGAAATATGCCATTGGTATTTTAATGGGGAGTGCATTGAACCTATAGATTGCTTTAGGAAGTATGGACATTTTGATTATGTTGATTCTACCGATCCATGAACATGGTATGTTCTTCCATCTGTTTACATCTTCCTCTATCTCTTTTTTCAGTGTCGTGTAGTTTTCCGCATATAGGTCTTTTACTTCCTTAGTTAAGTTTATTCCTAGGTATCTTAATTTTTTTAGTGTGATGGTAAATGGAATCGCTTTTTTAGTCTCTGTTTCTATAAGTTCACTGTTGTGTATAAAAATGCCACAGATTTCTTGGCGTTAATTTTGTATCCTGCTACATTGCCAAATTCATTTATTAAGTCAATTAGTTTTTTAATGAAATCTTTTGGGTTTTTTATGTTCAATATCATGTCATCTGCAAATAAGGATAACTTTACTTCTTCTTTTCCAATTTGGATGCCTTTTATTTCCTTTTCTTGTCTAATTGCAATGGTAGTACTTCCACTCAAAGAGGAGTGGCTATAGTGGGCATCCCTGTCTTGTTCCTGTTCTTAGAGGGAATGGTTTTAGTTTTTGCCCATTGAGTATGATGTTGGCTGTGGGTTTATAATATATAGCTTTTATTATGTTGAGGTATGATCCTTGTACTCCCAACTTGTTGAGAGTTTTTATCAGGAAAAGGTGTTGGGTTTTATCAAATGCTTTTTCTGCATCAATTGATATGACTATATGATTTTTATCTTTCAATTTGTTTATGTGATGTATCACATTTATTGACCTGTGGATATTGTACCATCCTTGCATTCCTGGAATAAATCCTTCTTGGTCATGGTGTATGATTTTTGTGATGCTCTGCTGGAGCCAATTTGCTAGAATTTTGTTGAGGATTTTGGCATCTATGTTCATGAGGGATATTGGCCTGTAATTCTCTTTCATTGAGTTGTCTTTATCTGGTTTTGGTATTAGGGTGATGCTGGCTTCATAGAAGGAGTTTGGAAGTGTTCCTTCCTCTTGAATTTTTTGAAATAGTCTGAGGAGGATAGGTTTTAGTTCTTCCTTGAATGTTTGGTAAAACTCTCCTGTGAAGCCATCTGGCCCTGGGCTTTTGTTTGCTGGAAGCTTTTTCTTTCTTTCTTTTTTTTCTTCTTCTTTTTTTAAATATATTTTTATTGATTTTTTACAGAGAGGAAGAGAGAGGGATAGAGAGTTAGAAACATCGATGAGAGAGAATCATCGATCAACTGCCTCTTCACACTCCCTACTGGGGATGTGCCCACAACTAAGGTACATGCCCTTGACTGGAATCGAACCCAGGACCTTTCAGTCCGCAGACTGATGCTCTATCCACTGAGCCAAACCGGTTTCGACATGCTGGAAGCTTTTTGATGACTGTTTCACTTTCTTCCCAAGTTACTTTTCTATTGAGATTTTTAGATTCTTCCTGATTGAGTTTTGGAAGGTTGTATTTTTCTAGGAATATGTCCATTTCCTCCACGTTGTTCAGTTTGTTGGAATAGAGTTGTTCGTAGTATTTTGTAACAATCCTTTGTATTTCAGCGGGGTCTGTTGTTATTTCACCTCTTTTGTTTCTGATTTTGTTTATTTGAGTCCTCTCTCTTTGTTTCTTGGTTAGCATGGCTAGAGGTTCATCTATCTTGTTTATCATCTCAAAGAACCAGCTCTTGGTTTTGTTTATCTTATGTATTGTTTCTTTGGTCTCTATGTCATTTATCTCCGCTCTGATTTTTGTTATTTCCTTCCTTCCGGTTACACTGGGCTTTTCTTGTTGCTCTTTTTCTAACAGATTTTAATTTTTTTATGACTAAGTAATATTCTATTGGATATTTGTAGCACTTCTTTTTTATCTTATCATCTGTTGATGGGCACATCTAAATGTAGACACTTAAGAACTCTTTTTACTAATATCCTCAACGATTTATTTCAGCATTGTGTGAATAGTAGTCTGTATTCTTTATGTTTGTTCTAATTATCTCATTGCACTTTATTTTAATAGGTTTCAAATCAGAAGCACAGTTACCCAGGAAAACTCATCCCACAATTGTGTATGGATTCACGTGTCAATAATTTATGACCAGCATTGTAATATGCCCTCATATGGTATTTGTGAGAAGAAGTTGGTAAAATAATGATGTGGGTATTGACAGAGTGAAGTATATAAGCCTAGAGGCCCAGTGCATGAAATCATGTGAGAGTAGGGTCCATAGGCCTACCCTGTGATCAGGGCCATTTTCCGCATGCTCTCCAGTCCCCAGTCTTGCCCTGTTGCCTCCACCCACCCCTGGTCTAGGTTGGCCGGGTGATCAATTTGGGCGTGCAGGCTGGGGCAGGGACCAAGAGGTCTGCCTTCATCCTTCTTGCCAGTCCCCAGTCCTGCCCCGCTGCCACCCATCCTGGTTCCCCATTAGCCATCAAGTGATCTGAGCTTGCGGGCTGGAAGGAGGGACTGAGAGGTAGTCAATGCACCTCATAGTGACTGGTCAATCAGTCGTTCTGGTCATTACACTGTTACGGTTGCTGGCCTTTTATTATACAGGGTAGTAAGGAAGGAAGAAAACAAAACATAAGTGAGAGAGATTTGAGGTCAAAATAAATGGTGGAAATATCTAAAGAGCTCAGCCAACCTTAATCTTAGCTGAGAGACAGGATGGAAAGAGTGTGATTTCTGTACATTAACTCAATTGGTAGTCCAGTATTATGTTCTAATGGAGCTAGAATAACATAACTTGAATCTTTATTCTACCATTGACCTGGCATTTACCTGGGATTAATCAGAATTCCTTGGTGTTTCAGAAGATCTTAATTTCTGGCTGTACCAAAGTAATTCTTATCCTTAAAAAGTGCCACGGAGTGTACATGGGGTGTTTCTGTGATTTGTTCCTCCACTTTTAGCAGTGCACCATCAGACACAATATAATTCTGAATAGCTAAATAGAAAGGCACAATATAATTCTGAATAGCTAAATTAAAAAATAAAAAATAACTTCACTATAATCAGAGCTATTTTTTATTTTGTTCATCAATATGATCATAATTGTGACCAAAGCTTTCATAAAAAGTGGGAATTCTATTTTTTTTTCCTTTTCAATTAAATAGCCCAGAAAATATGTCTGGCACATCTCTGATTAATAAGATCTCCTGTAATGTGTGATTGTAGGGAAACTTCTCTTAAAAGAAAGTTTTCTCCTTTTTTTTGGTTCTTTAGTCACATTTTAAAAAATTTTATACTTTTATTTTTCAATTACAGTTGACAATCAATATTATTTATTAGTTGACAAACTAATAAAAATATTAGTTTCAGGTGTACACTATAGTGGTTAAAAATTTATATACTTTGCCAAATGATCCCATTGGTAATTCTATACCCACCTGGAACCATACATAGTTATTACAATATTATTGACTCTATTTCCCATGCTGTATTCTACATCTCCAGGATTATTTTGTAATTATCAATTTGTACAAATTAATCCTTCACCTTTTTCACCCAGTCCTCCACCCCATTTCAACATCTGTCAACCATCAGGCTTTTCTTTGTTTGTATGAGCCTGTTTCTGTTTTGTTTATTTTGTGCTTTGGATTAAACATACAAATAAAATAATTTGGTATTTATATTTCTCTGACTGATTTATTTCACTTAACATAATATGCTCAAGGTCCATCCCTATTGTTTCAAATGGTAAGATTTCATTTTTAAAATATATATATTTTTTATTGATTTCTTACAGAGAGGAAGAGAGAGGGATAGAGAGTTAGAAACATTGATGAAAGAGAATCATTGGTCAGCTGCCTCCTGCACACCCCCACTGCGGATGTGCCCGCAACCAAGGCACATGCCCTTGACCAGAATCAAACCTGGAGCCCTTCATTCTGCAGGCCAACGCTCTATCCACTGAGCCAAACCAGTTTTGGCAGATTTCATTTTTTATAGCCAAGTAATATTCCATTGCTTATGTACCACCTCTTTTTAATCCAATCATCTATTGATTGACACTTAGGTTGCTTCCATCTTGGTTATTGTAAATAATGCTGCAATACACATAGGGATGCATATACCTTTTGGAATCAGTGTTTTGGATTTCTTTGAATAAATTCCCAGAAATAGAATTTCTGAGTCACAATGTACTTTATTATTTTTTAAAGATATTTTTATAAATTTCAGAGAGGAAGGGAAAGGGAGAGAAAGATAGAAACATCAATGATGAGAGTAAATCATTGATCAGCTGCCTCCTACATGCCCCTAAATGGAGATTGAGCCTGCAACCCAGGCACGTGCCCTTGACTGGAATCAAACTCAGGACCCTTGAGTCCACAGGCCAACACTCTACCCACTGAGCCAAACCAGCTAGGACAAGGTAGTTATATTTTTAATTTTTGAGGTGTTTAGCCACAGAGCAGAATTTGCCTCTGTAGGGCCTGGTGCTTGCTTAGACCACCCTTTGGATGTGCCATTTGTGGTGCTAATCAGGTGGTGCTCTGCTGTGGTCTGAAGTTGGCCAATGGGCGTGTTGTTTCTGAGGCCTCTTGGGAGAGCCTCTGGTGCAGGCCAATGCCAGATACTGCCTATGATTGGCCTGGGAATAATCGCTAGGAGCCACTAAGTGATAGGTCTTGGTAGCTGCCTCTGCTGGACCTGGATATAGATGGGAAAATGCACAATGTGAGGCCAGCTTCCACCAATGACATAGGGCAGGGCAGCATAGGTCACAAGGCACCTTGAGATAAGCTGCTTTTGTCTGTTGCTTATAAGGCTTGCCTTTGAAAAGACCTAGAGTGGTATGCAAGTTGGATGAAGCAGGGTCTCTGGGAGTCACGAGGGTAGGATGAATCATGTTTACCAGGTTCATCTAGATTGAGATTTGGTGCTAGTGCTGAGCCTGAGGCCACTCATCAAATGTCACAGTGTACACTGAGGCCAGTCACTCAATGCCTGGGGCCTATAGACCTTTGTGGTGGATTGGAGACCCAGGGAGTCAACAGGTTGGAGCAAGTTCACCAGATTCAGATTCATGTGGAGGAGGGCTCCCTCACCCTAAAGCCACACAGCTCAGTTATCTTCCTGTATGTCTCTGGTTCCCTCTAAGCTGGAATGGAATTCCTGGAGGTGTGTATTTTTAAAAAATATATATTTTTATTTATTTCAAAGAGGAGGGGACAGGGAGAGAGAACTGGAAACATCAATGATGAGAGAGAATCATTGATCGCTGCCTTCTGTATGCCCCACAATGGGGATCGAACAGAACCTGGGCATGTGCCCTGATTGGGAATCAAACTGTGACCTCCTGGTTCATAGGTTGACACTCAACCACTGAGCAACACTGGCCGGGCAATTGCAGTAATTTTGAAAGTAGTTTCCCAGCATCCACCTTGTCCTCTTGTTTATTTTCAGACATACCAGAGTGATTCCATTAAATTTAAAGCAAAGCAAGTCAGCCTTCTATAAAAACTCTTTGATGTCTCATATATCTCAGAGTGAAAAAAAAAATAAAAATAAAAGGCAAAAAACCTTTAAATTGTCCATAAGATAATCACTGTGGACTACTTTATTCTTTTGAGTCAAGCTATTTTTTTTCTCTAAACTCATTCCATTTAGGACACTGATTTTTTTTTTTTAATTGTTTCTCAACTAGAGCTGGCATACTTCCCCCTCATATCTATTTAGCTCCCTCTTCTCTTTATCTGACTATTACCCTAGAAATTTCCAGGTTTCTCATTTAAGTCTGCAAAAAAATATCATTTTCTTAATGTGGCTGACTCTCCTTCATTTAAAATTAGCAACCTTCCTTCCTGTATATTCCTGATCTCCCTTTATCCTCCATATATTTTTCATAACTCTTATCAGAATCTAGTAAACTAGATTATTATTTTCTTGTATATCATCTGCTTTTCTCCATAGGATGTAGGTTCTAAAAGGAAAGATAATTTTATTTTATACTGATATGTCTCAGATAATAGTATCTGTAATCAAATAATATTTTTGTCATTGTTAAAAAAAATAATTTAAAGACAAGTAGTAAAATGCTAATGTAGATAGTTGGGCAAAAATTGCCAAAGATCTATGTGAATAACTGAAGTTTGGAAAATAGTTTTCATTGACATTTCACTAGAATCATAATTATCAACATCTCCTTAATATATACTTTTCAGGCCCCTGTTTTGATTTCTAATATTCATCTTTCTGCTTCATTCTCATTTGTGCTTCACTTACCATTTCCTTCAAATTTTTTTATTGCCTTCTCTTCTATAACCTTTTCTAATATATCAACCCAATGAAAATTACCAAATGATTTTTGATTTCTTACTTTTTACAAGGCATTATGCAAGAGAAAGGTCTTTTTACATTTGTTTTATTTAGAATAACTCAGTAAACAATACATAGGTTGAGATGCATGATGAATCCACAATATATAATTTCTGACCCATCCCTCTTAGGGGTTGGTGACCCTAATCCAAGTATTTTCCACACCCTATATTTAGTGTGCTTAATTTAGCCAAGCTATCACCCCCAAATATAGACATATATTAGTAGAATAATATAATTCTACTAGTGGCCTGATGGACAAAATTCATGCACAGGGGGGAGGAGGGAAGGGTGTCTCTCAGCCTGGCCTGTACCCTCTCCAATCTGGAACCCCTCGGGGGCTTTCCAACTGCCCATTTAGGGATCAGGCCTAGATCGGCAGTTGGATATCCCTTTCACAATCTGGGACCACTAGCTCATAATTGCTCACCTGCCTGCCTGATCACCCCAACCACACTGCCTGCCATCCTGATTACCCTCAACTTCCCCCCTCCAATCTGATCATCCTTAACTGCCCCTTCTTCTGGCCTGCTCCACCCCAACTGCCGACCTGCTCACCCCTAATGGCCTCTGCCTCAGCTCCACCACCATGGCTTTGTCTGGAAGGAAATCCAGAAGGTCTCCCAGTCTAATTAGCATATTACCCTTTTATTAGTGTAGATTATACTGATTTGGGAAGAATTTTTGGACATTATCTAAAACAAACTTCTCATTTCCTTCTCAACTCAGGAAATGTAGGCACAAATTGTCACTAGCTTCCTAAAGTCACAATTCTGATAGTCTTTACTTTCAAGGAAATTGTGTTCATTATCATGATGCACCATGTGATATAAAATGTTAAATTGAGTCTTCATATTGAAAGAAGAAAGATTATTGAATTGAACTGACAACCAGAAAGTGCTTCTCTTTCCCTTTCTTTCTTTCTTTCTTTCTTTCTTTTTTTCTTTATTTTCTTTCTTTCTTTCTTTCTTTCTTTCTTTCTTTCTTTCTTTCTTTCTTTTTTTCTTTATTTTCTTTCTTTCTTTCTTTCTTTCTTTCTTTCTTTCTTTCTTTCTTTCTTTTTTTTCTTCTTTCTTTCTTCTTTCCTTTTTTTTTAATTTTATTAATTCTTACCCGAGGATATGTTTAGAAAGAGGAAGAGAGAGAGAGAGAGAGAGAGAGAGAGAGAGAGAGAAATCGTAATCTGACTGGGGATTGAACCTTTTAGTGTGTAGGACAACACTCCAACCAACTATGCCACCCATTCAGGGCCAAAAAGTGCTTTTAAGGCTAGTTCTGTCACTAAGCAGCTATGTGACTTTAGAGCAATTTCTCACCTAGCTGGGCTTTAATCTCCTTTTATAAAATAAAAGAATGGAATCCATTAGATATCCTCAAAAGAACTCTTTTGTCCTGACATTCCTTGTATATGATGCTTTACACTATTGCCTTGGAGAAAGGAAGAGGCTGGTCCTGTAGTCTCTTCTGTTTTCTCAAGGGCACAGAGAGGTTAAATTTGCTATAAGTGCCTCACCGAGTATCCCTCTGACTGATTATTGTTTTGCAGAGTCTGAAAATTGTAATTGACTCTGGAATTGTAAGATCTTGCCTTCTTTAAGCAGTTAAACAGGAAGTATAAACAGATGAACAAAAGAGATGAGAAGCACCACGGCTTCGGTAATTGTTCAGAGAGAGACCGCCCAAACAGAAAACACTTGCTATTTCCCCTCTGCCTGACCAATTTGGCATTCAGAGTACAAGTTTACAGGGGAGGGGTTGGGCCTCTCCAGGCAGGAACTGGAGTCAGACACTTCCCTGCTACTTGCTGGGAGAGAAGAGCATTAGGAATGCCTTTCAGTGCCTGCGTTCCTGAACTGTCCCATAGAAGCCAGCCAGCTCGGGGAAATCCAGCCACAGCTCGCCCTCAACCTTGTAAGAGTCCTGATGCAGGCCAAATACTTCAGCACGAACAACATGCTGGATGATGAATGGGGCACCACCTTGAGCCTGCATTCGCAAACCTCCACTCCATCCCAGCGCCCAAAGCGGGGGCACACAGGTACTCACTCTGTCCTCCGGAGTCCGAATGGGCCAGGCCCTTGAGAAATGCATGAGATAAGCTATCTCTCCGAGGAATGTACAAAATAGGGGAAAGGCGGGTGAATGTTTTCATGATTTACAAACTTTCCACCACTTGTGTTCCACTTCCTTTAAGAATATCTGAAAAAAATTAAACTTAGTATATGCAGACATTTGTTTTTTTAAGATTCTCTTGCTGACAGAGGGCTTTGCAGTTGAGGGTGTGTTGTTTTGACCAGTTAGGTATGTCCTACAAAGTTGAGATTGTGTTTATGAGTAAAGCATTGTCCCTTCTCCTTCCCGCCATCCCCTGAGGGCCAACTCCAATGCTGTTTTATTTACTGTCTGTGATCTGCTCTGGAAAGTTAGATTTTTAAAGGCTACCTTTTGGTTAGTTTTGCACTCATGGCTTTGGAGGTAGTTTTCCAAGCAGATACATCAAACCTGGTATTTTGCTATAATTGTTCTTTATCATGAAGAATGAGGCCTTTGGAGAGTCATATCAACATCAACTGTTTGGCTTTATCTTTTATGGAATGCGGGGGCATTAAAGCAAATGCCTTTGAAGGCCCCTTCAGCTCTGACATTCTATGATTCAGGGATTTAAGTGATGTTCTCAGGTGCAATTAATTATATCCTATTTCTTTCTATCCTTTATTCTATTGAGTTCCAGAATAGTATCAAGATGATTGTATTGAATTACAAAAATATTTACTTTCAGTTACATTTAGCTTTCATCTTATGCTTTTATTTCCAATAATTTACCCTGTGACATGTTAATAAAATATTTATTGTTATATATATTTTTAATGTTAAATATGTATTTTTCAGCCCAAAGAAGAGATAATTTATGTATGTAGAGAAGGATATTTTTTGTTATTGTTGTTAATCCTCATCTGAGTTATTTTTCCATTTGTTTTTAGAGAGAGTGGAAGGGAGAGGGAGAGACAGAGAGAGAGAAACATCAATGTGAGAGAGACACATTGATTGGTTGCCTCGCAAACTCAGGATGGCCAGGGCTAGAGAAGAATCTTATTTCCCAGGCAGCTCAGCCAATCTAAGGCCAATTTGTGTCTTGAGATCTAGTGAAAAGGTCTCATACTGTCATGTAGACAGGACTAGATTCTAATACCTGGAAGGTCACTTACTAATTGTGTGATATTGGACATGTTACTTAAGTATTCTAGGCCTCAGTTTCTTCATTTATAAAATGCTAGTGATGATAAATATGTATACCTTGGTTATTATGTCCCTGGCATTGTTTTAAGTGTTTTATTCATATTATTGGTATATAGAAGTAAGCAAAATCTCTCTTATATAGTGACTATTAGTACTAAGGTTGATGAGCTCTGCAAAGTCCTGGTACACTGCAGGCATACCAAAAATGTGAGGTTGTTTTTTTGTTTGTTTGTTTGTTTTGTTTTTAAATTTATTTCATTGGTGTGTTTTTTTTTTTTACAGAGAGGAAGGGAGAGGGATAGAGAGTTAGAAACATCGATGAGAGAGAAACATCCATCAGCTGCCTCCTGCACACCCCCCACTGGGGATGTGCCCATAACCAAGGTATATGTCCTTGATTGAAATTGAACCTGGGACCCTTCAGTCCACAGGCCAACGCTCTATCCACTGAGCCAAACCAGTTTCGGCTGTTTATTTTTTTGTTGTTGTTGTCTCCCTCCCCCCTCCCCCCCCACACACACACACACACTATTCCATTCCTGGAGAATTCCTAAAGTGTTTTGTTTAACATTTTTGTGTCAGTCTGTATCAGAGAGATCCTCACTCAAAGTCTGGATCTGAATATATCCTTCCTCTCTTGACCATATCCAGGTTTTCTTCCCTTTGGTGAATCTGGACACACACCTTTCCCCTGTTCTCTTCCATGTCTCTTTATCTAGGTTTTATTCCTTCCCCCTCTAACATTTTCCATTCACACTCTATTTATTGACTGATCTGCCTCCTGAGACTCACTGATGTGGCTTCCCGTAACCTGTGAGGGGAGACTGGGGGATTTCCAGGCTCCTTGATGAAAAACAAAGTGGCAACTTTGGGATGTGAGTTTCTGCAGCCACTAGATATGTGCACTAGGATATGATATGTTTTCCTCCAACAAATCCTGCCAAGAGATGGCCGTTAGAGCTGTGGTTTTTAAGTGGCTTGTGTATAACTTAATCTTTCACCTTTGACAAGAGCCAGGAACTCTCACAGGATTAGCGATCAGCATATTCAGGAACAGGGTGTACAAGTAAATTCTGTTGAGCTTGGAGGGTGGAGAGGGAAGTGTAAGGGATAAAACACTACTGAAACATCTGGCAACTTTTTGTGAGAAGTGGAAATTGAAACACTAGGAATAGAGGCTAAAAGCATTGTCTTCCAGGAAAACATCTGAAAATAGTTATTTTACCCTACGTGTATGATGTCTTGTTTTCGCCTTGCGATAATGCAGATATTTAGAGCAATGTTCTGATGGAAGTCTAATTATTTCTTACGAAAATAGGTCTGAAATACTTTTGCTCTTAAAAAAAAAATCAGACTAAAAAAATCACTCTGGTATTATTTATTTATTTATTTTAGCAATGCAGATTCCACATAATTTATGGCAGAAATATAACTGGAATATTTTAGAATTAACAAAAATAAACAATATACATTTATTTTATAAATGTCCATCTTTTCAATATAAAGTTATGTATGTTTTGCCCCCCTAAAAATTAGAAAGATAGAAAGCAAAGATATAAGATAATACCCTCATGCCTTCTTCCCACAAATTATATTGGGAGTTATGCTACCGTAGTAGTTCTCAACTCAGTAATAAGTGTGGCAAGTGCCACAATGAAAGCATACACATGGTACAATGGAGACCCTGGTAATTTCTATCTGTTAAGTGTCAAAGGGATCAGGAAAGTTTTGAGAGAGGGAGTGACCATTGAGTTGAGTTGACTTTAAGATGTTCCTCATGATATGGAAGCAGAAATGGAAAGGTTAAGAGGCTGAGGGCCTTACAGGAAAACAGTCACATGAGAGAAAAGCCAAGGAGGTCTTCAATAACTTTGTTTATCAGAGAACTATACGCAATATATTATTACTCAGATATAAAGTTGGAGGGGGAAGCTTGATCAGAGGTTAAGTCTGGAAAGGTAAAGAGGACCTATTGTGTCATAGGGAGGTATTTTGATTCTATTCAGTAGGTAAAATGAGTTAACTAAAGGATCTAAACAGGTAGTAACATCATCAATTGTGTGTTTTTAGAAGATCATCTAAGCTATACTGAGGAGATAGATTGAAGGAGTATGAAACTGGATGAGCTGACAGAGTTTGCACTGTATGAGCATGGGATTTGAGAACTGAGGTAGTATGGGAATGAGGAGGTAGAATCAGATATGAAAGATGTGAAGGAGGTAGAATTTAAATAACTTGTGACAGGTTACAAGACAAAGGGAGAGCATAGGTTGACTAGGTTCCATCTGATAGTATGTTGATGCTGCTGCCATTAACTGAGATGGAAACTACAGCAAGAATAGGAAAAATAATGAATTCAGTTTGAGTTTGAGATGCCTATATTAGAAGGGACATGCAGTTGGTATTGCCCAAAGACACTTGTACTAGTATATACAGCATGTAGATTAGAAGTAAGGATTCCTGCTGAAGATTAAATATAATAGCCTGTTTCTCTGTGAGTCCTGGTTCACAGGGATGTAGACAGTGTGGTGTTAGGCATGACAATATAATCCTGGCTCTGCCACTAGTTTGCAATGTGGCTTTGCACACATCTTTGAATTCTCTTTGTCTCTTCCAGCTTTTAGATCCCTTTCATTTTGGAAGCATTCTAATAGATCAGTTTAGTAATGTCTGTTTCATTTGTTTATAGGCCCAAGGAATGGAAGTATAAAATTTCCCGTCTCTGTTGCTTGGTGATGACAACTTGCTTGGTGTGACAACTCTCTTCATCCACAAAGTTTCTTATAACTATAAAGGAATTTGTGTTTAAAATTTGACCTTAGCACTGTAGCCTTTTATAGTATAGTTATAGTAAGAGGGTACAGGAAAGGCTGTTTTTTCTCTATATATATTTTATTATTCCTAGGGATGTTTATATCATTCCTTGGCCTGTCCACACCTTTTCTAAACATGCCTCAGGAGACAGCATCAGAGTTCTCTTCCAAAAAATAGAGACACAATGAAGCCAAGCCAAACCGAAGCAACTCCCAAGCAGCTTATTTTTCTTATTTCAGGGTGGGAGTGATCCCTAGAGAGAGATCACATTATAAGCAGCACACTTGGATTAAAACTCAGGAATATTAAAACCAGAGTTAGGAAAAAATACCTACAGGAGGAAAAAGAAAAAGTGAAACTTGCAACTTCATAGTCTCTCCATCTTAGTCTCTCCATCTAAGGTCTGGTTTCTTAGAAGTAACCATACCTGGTGTGGAAATCCCCTATAGAACAGGAAGATATTTTAAATACTGAGGGAGAGAAAGTGGAAAGGAAGAAGGAAAGAGGAGAGAGGAAGGGAGAGAATCAGTGAGGAAGAGAAAGAGAGGAGTCAGAGTAGAAAAATTTCCATATGATCAGGGAAATATGATTCCTTTGAAATGAAATTGAATATCCTATCTAATAAAAAAGGAATATGCTAATTGACTGCCACGCCCTCAAAGATGGTGGCGCCCAGTCCCCTCAGCCCTGTCAGGGCAGCAGGTGTGCAGCACTGCCAGGCCCATCCCCAGGTGGGTCCGGCTGCTCTGTGTTCCTGCTTCCAGAGTCCCCCAGGCCCTTCAGCCCCACAGCTGTCCAGGGCAGGTCCAAGGCATAGGCAAGCCTCGGACATCAGTTGCCCAGCCACCCAAGGCTGGCCCAAGGGACAATCAGATGACTGAACTACAGGCTGTGTGGGGCAACCAGGCAGGCAGGTGGTTAGAGATGGACAATCAAACGACTGAACAAGCAGGCTGTGTGGGGTGACCAGGTTGGCAGGGAAGCTGTGAGGGATGACCAGGCTAGCAGAGGGGGCAACCAGGTTGGTAGAGGGAGTGCAGTTGGGGGCAATCAAGCAGGCAGAAGGGGGCAATTGGGGGCTATTAGGCTGGCAAAGGGGGCAGTGAGGGGTGACTTGGCCAACTGGTGGGTCAGTTGGGGGAGACCAAGCCAGAGGGGGGAAGGAAGGGAGTTAGGGGCAACCAGGCTGGCAGGTGGGAGTAGTTGGGGGGAAGGAAGGGAGTTAGGGGTGACCAAGCTGTCAAGGGGGGCAGTTAGTGGTGACCAGGCCAGCAGATGGGTAGTTAGGAATGACCAGGCTGGCAGGGAGGGGGCAGTTGGGGGTGACATGGCTGGATGTGGAGAGAGTGAGGAGCAATCAGGCCAGCAAGGGGGAGCATTTAGGGGCAACCAGGCAGGCAGGCAGATGAGTGATTAGGAGCCAGTGGTCCAGCATTGTGAGATGGATGTCCATCTAGACCGGCAATCAGGCATCCCCCAAAGAGTCCCAGATTAGAGAGGGTGCAGGCTGGGCTGAGGGGACCCCCTCCCCCCAGCCTCCTTGTGCACAAATTTCATGCACCAGGCCTCTAGTATATATGATCTTTGAATGCATAATAATCTGGCCAATCAGTGTATATCCTATATAATAAAAGGCTAATATGCAAATTGTCCCCTCAACCAGGAGTTTGATCAACAGGTAGACTGGCCAACTGCTCAACCCCCCCCTCCCCCTCCCGCCAGGCTGGCTGAACTCCACCCATGCATGAATTCATGCACTAGGCATCTAACACACACACACACACACACACACACACTGAGTGGCCAGGTTATTATGTGTTCAGAAATCATAATAATCTGGCCACTCAATATATATAGTAATTGAGCTTATTTCAACTAATGTCTATGTGCTAAAAGAACACTAATCTTTTTTTAAAAAGAGCTTACTTTCTACTGGAGTTTGACAGATATAAAGCAAAGGAAATAAGATATGTAATATATCTGGTGGTAATAAGAGATGTGGAGAAAAATAAAGCCAGCATGGTGGTTGGTCCACATATGCACATGTATCTCTGGAATCTAGAAACACCTGCCTGGTTGATGTTCTTTGGCAATATAGAACTTTAAAAAGACAAAATTTTGGAGAATTTATTTAGACTTGTTCTTTTATGCTCTGCTGCTCTGAGATACTCTTAATGACAATGCCTTGAGAAATCACAATTTCCAGGAAAACTTATATCAAAGCACACAGGCCAGATCTCTCATAGCTGCTCATGATTCAGAATCTCACATGTCAATGATAGAAGCCAGTACAGCTAGGAGATCAATTTAGCAGAGTCTGCCCTCTGCTGACAGAAAGGTTGCTGAAAAGTCAGTTGATTTTGAAAAGTCAACCAGTAAGGTTTAACTTTAGATAATCTTCTGTGGCTTTGTAAATATTATGTAGTTTAAGAAATAGTAGTGTTTTTTTTGTTTTGTTTTGTTTTTTTATAATTTCACTCTTAATTCATTTACTCACTAAATATCCAACCCTACTGTGCCAGGCACTATTTTCAGTACTAGAAATACACTGGTGAACAAGGTAGACAAGATCACTTTTTAAATGGAGTATACATTTAAGGGGGAGGAGATAGAGCTAAACAAACAAATCCATGAAAATAACACTTAATAATCTTGGTTTTAAAAATCAGACACAATGGGTTAATGTGCTAGAGATGGATGCATGGACATCTGCTAAGGAAGTACCATTTAAACTGAAACCTGAATACCAGGAAGTAGCCTACCCCCAAACCCATCTGAGGATTGATTACTGCTGGGGTAGAGGCAAAGCTAGGACAAAGGCATTGTGACCAGATTGTTTGTTTCAAGGATAAACAGAGGCCACTGGAGTAGAGCATTTGCCTGAGGGCTGAGTAGTGCAAAAATGATGAGTCATGTTGGTTCTTAGAGAATTTTATTCTAAGTGCTATAAAGATATTGGACGTCTGGAAGTACCATAATCAAATTTCCATTTTTTCAAAAAAGAGCAATCTGAGTCTTTATGAAAAGTGATTTGGATTTTATTCTAGTTGTAATGCAAACTATTGAAAGTTTTTTTATGAAGGAGATGATTACTAAGAGAAATTAAGATTCACATTTTAAAATACATCAATGTTTGCTCCTTTATTTTTACTTAATTTCCCTACTAGATTGTAAGTTTCAAAGGATAGTGATGATATTTTCTATTTCTATACATCTTTACCACTTATCATTCCCTATTTGGAAATAATGTTTGGTACAAATCTCTGTACGTAGAATAAATTCTGTAGAGTACTCTTCTAAAGAGGAATTGAAATTATGTTTCTTTAATCTTTTTGTTTTAGAACCTGACTTGAAAGCCTAATGAAGTAAAATGCACAAGTCATAAAGAGATCAGTTTCTTTTAGGGTTTCTCTCTCCCTTTGTTTCATTTTAATCTCAATGCAACCTGCACCTTATCAGGGAGTCTTCCTTGTCAGATTCACAGGTTCATTCACGTTGATAGCTGATCTCATTAGGTGACAGGTTTACTTCTCCTAAGCCGAGCCCCTAAAATTACCACATGGCAGCTCTGACCGGTTTGGCTCAGTGGATAAAGTGCCTGCTTGTGGACTGAAGGGTCCCAGGTTCAATTCCAGTCAAGGGCATGTTCCTTGGTTTTGGGCACATCCCTAGTAGGGGCTGTGTAGGAGGCAGCTGATCAATGTTTCTATCTCATCAATGCTTCTGGCTCTCTAATTCCTTTCTTTCTGTATAAAAAATAAATAAAAATTACCACATGGTAAATTGTGAAGGTATAGACAAGGGATGTTGTCTATAAGCTTTTTTTATTACTTAACTAGAGGCCAGGTGCACAGAATTCATGCACAGTGGGGTTCCTAGGCCTAGCCATTGAGCAGGGCCTGCTGATTGGGACCAGGCCAACCAGGACCAAGCTGGAGAGGAGGCGAAGGTCGCCAGACCAGACATGTAAGGAATAGACACCAGACTCCGATGCTACCATTGTCAGTGCCCTGCCACTGTGTGGTTCTCCACCTCTCTCCCCTCCTTCCCTCACCACCACAGCTGATCAGGTCCTACTGGCCAGGGGAGAGGCAGGGCACAGGAGGTTGGCCACCAACCCCAAGGAGGGAGCTAGTCCTAGGCCCCCCCTAGGAAAGGGGCTGCAGGGGTCGCAACCTATCCTCAGTTCCCATCACAGCTCAGGGGCTGGGGGAAGGAACTGCAGAGGTTGACTGGCCAGGGAAAGTTGGCTATGGGAGCACACTGACCACCAGAGGGAAGCTCCTGCATTGAACATCTGCCCCCTGGTGGTCAGTGCACATCATAGTAGTGCAGTCATTCTGTTTATTCCAATAGCTTAGACTTTTATATATATATAGACTAGATGCCCGGTGCACGAAATTTGTGCAAAGGGCTCAGCCCTCGTAATTCCAGCCAGCCCTTCAGCTGGCCCTTACAGTCCAAGCTTCATCTGGAAGGTAGTCTGTATGGTCATTCTGCTATTCAGTCTAATTAGCATATTAGCTCTTTATTATATAGGATTGGCTCAAAATTGAGATAGCTTGGATTTATCCTTGAGAAATTAATGACCATATTCCTTTTTCTTTTCTTTTTTTTTTAATATGTCTTTTTTATTTTTACAGAGAAAGAAGGTAGAGATGGGGAGAGAGAGAAACATCAATGAGAGAAAAACATGATCATCTGACTCCCTCACACACCCTACTGGGAATTGACCACAACCTGGGCATGTGCCCTGTCCAGAAATCTAACTGGCAACCCAACTGGCAACTTTTTGGTGCATTGTATGATGCCCAACTAACTGAACCACTTTGGCCATGGCAATGATTTGTTTCTCTATAACCTATTTTTGGAGAGCTATCAATCGAAAGAACAAACAAAATCTTTACAAAAAAAAAAAAAGGACTTTCAACAACAACAAAAAAATCCCTAAAAGAAACAGTAAAATAATTTCTCACTACTGATATGCAATTTGCTTTTTGGAAGAAGCATGCGAAACTTGGGAGGGATGATATTTTGCAAAAGTGACAAAAATTAATTTCATCTCTTCTTTGATGATGTATAAAATTGTTCCTCCTTCAGGCATTTACATGAGATTCTTTTGTAACTCAAATTTTGATAAAAATAAAGTTATACAAACAAAGATAGATAAAGATAATAGTACTGCATAACTTGACTCATTGCAACGTAAGACTGGGTGGGTGTGGGGGATAGCAATGGGTGGGGCTTGTAAAAAGAATCTAGCCTGGGAAGGTGAGGCTTGGCCCAGAGCATGAAGAATGTTTCTGAGGGCAGGAAGAATGTTATCTAGTCCCTGATTACTGTTCTGCAGGACTTGTTCTTTCCCAGAACCAACTCCTCTTGCTTGCAGCTGACCTACATCCGAGAGAAAAAACACACACACAAAAACCTCTGTCTTTTCTTTTGTTTCCTGCAGAGCAGCCACCTCCCTCTTCAGCATGGCGTCCAGTGGCCTTGATCCTGATCATTTTGTGCCTGGTGCTGCTGATTGGCCTGGCTGTACTGGGGTTTGTGTGTAAGTCTGCACTCTGACTTGGGGGAGGATCCTGGCTCCAAGGTTTGTCTAAGATGAGAAATATTTGTACTTCTAGAGCTTATGGATAAATGCAATGTTCCCTTTTTGAAAGTACCACTTAAGTAGTGAGTAGTGGAAGAAATCAATCGCTAGATAGATTTTTATGATCTGTTTGAGATAAGAAGTTTTTGTTTAAGTATGCCAATATTTAAAATCAACTATTATTAATAAATGCGTGCTTTAGCTTCTTCCATTTCGCAAAAGATTTGAGGCAGTCGTTTTCACCGTAAGCTCAGTGGGCTAACACAGAGGGAAGACTACCCCCATTCATATTGCACCCCCACATATAAGGAGAAAGACCAGGTCTTTAATCACTATAATATTTTTCAAAAGGTCCAGGAAGTTATACTATCATTTTGTGAAAATCTATGACAATAAAAAAAGGAAAAATGCATGCATAAAATTCTTTAAATTTCAAATTAGTAAGGACAAGTTCAAAAACTTAAAAAAGGAAGTGGACACATTTGTTGCATGTGATCATAACAGCATTGTTCCCTGAAACAGTTGAAGAAGGTGGTTCCAAATAAATGGTTACATTGATGAGCAGGTTTTAATGTAAAAAAAAAAAAAATTACAGGAAATCTGCAAACTTTTACTTTCTTAAATTTTAAAATAAAAAAAGTAGTTTTTACTCTGATCCCAAAATTCCTATTTTATTTTGATATAATTAACTATTGTTTTTGAAACCACCATTCTTTTTAAGGATATAAAGCAACTTTCATGATTCATAAAGGGTTTTATTTTCGTAAAGGATTTTTGCATTTAAATTGATAGTAGAAACCTGGAGTTTAAATCTGAGTGTTGAACATCTTTAATCAAATGATAGTAACTTATTCTTACTGAGTCAAACCACAAATGTATAAAAACTTAGAAATGATAATATGACCATTTTAATGACTGAATGAGATAATCTATGGTACATTGTCAATGCTCCATACAATAGACAAAAGATAAATGGATTTGTGGGTTTAGGTTCAGTAATGATTTTAGAATATACAAAATTTTTTTTATTAAACAGTAAATATGGTTAAGAAATTTATTCCTGAAATTAGAAAATACGATTCCATATTTTCAGATAAGAAAACAGACTTGGAGAACCTAACTTGCCTGCAGAAATACAACTTATTATGTGCTGCAGTCCAAAATTGAATATAGGTAATGAGAGCGCTCAGAGCCTGTGATCATACACAAGATACTGTTTTATCTTCCCCATATGCAGAAAATAGATATGGAAATAAATAAACTGTCTAGACTAACTTGGTAACTTGGCTTAGTTTTTCAGTTCTACCAGCTATCCAACACGCAGAAAGACAGCATTAATAAACTGGAAGAAAGATCGGGGAATCTCTCCCAACAACTGCAATCCCTCCAAGCCCAGAACAGGAAGCTTGTAGAAACTCTGCAGCAGGTGGCTGAAAAATACTGTCGTGAGCTTTATAACAAAACTGGAGGTGAGTCCTGAGCACTAAGCTCCTCCTACCCTCAGAATGTCTGTCAGTATAGTGTTATGTGGGAACCAATATATTAATTCATTGGTTGAATTATTTAACTAGTTGTCTGGCAAACTTAATGGTTTGGGCATCCAGATCATGTCCAATTATTGGAATCATTTAGCTCAGATACATCTGTGTTGCAACACATAAAGGGATTCTTGAAATTCAGACATTTTAGACAATGCAAGAGGCCTAAGAGGTGAATATAACTGCATATTTAAGGAATAATATGGAGCTTGTGTACCTGGACCAGAGTGAGTGAGTTGAAGACTAATAGGCTGAGATTATTTATGGCTTAGGGGACATTGTAAGGGATTTGTCTTCCATTTGAAGCCAAACGAGAATTCATTACAGGATCTTGAGCATAAGAAATACATGTGTGACATGAATTTTAAAAGGCTCATTCTGCAACTCTGTTGAATCCACGCTGGAAGAGGGAAGGATAGAAACAGAGAAATTATGTAAGAGATGGCTACTGCAGTAATCCAGGGAAGAGAATAATATGGTCCAAACTAGGATATGATCAGTGGAGATGAATGCATGATGTAATAAATGGGTTGTGAGAGAAATAAAGAAGTCTAAGATATCTCCAGAGTTTTTGAGCAATGCAACTAGAAGCATAGAGATGTGATCCAGAGGAATGGAGAAGAATTCTGTGGTTATAAAAGGGAAGGTTAGAAACCAGGAATGACATTTTGGGTAGATTGAATTTGAAATATAATCTAGATATCCAAGTGGAGATATGGATAGCCAGTTTGGTATACAAGAGATAAGGTCTAGGCCATAAATACAAACTGATTTACAAAGAAATATAAATTATTTATTTGTTTAAAACTTTGTTTTACCTTATGAAATATTACTAATATACAGAAAAATACAAATAATAATATAATATCTATTTGCATTGACCACTCAGATTTCAATGTTCACATTTTGACACTGAATTGTCTTGAAAATAAAGATATTTTTGTGGAATTATTGAGGTTCCATCCTACCATATACCAACAAGGGACTTGGTTACAGGTCCCAAACCCTCAAAGGCCAAGGCCATGTTCCTACATAGATATGGCTGTCAGGACTTAGTTCCTATATTTACAACCACTACCCACAGTAGTCCATTTCTCCCTTGAACTCTGTACTTAATTCTCTAACTTGGATGTCCATCTTAATCTCTGATACATGGATATTTGCCATTCTAATTCATACTTGTCTAAGTATTTTTTTCTAAAAGTTTACTTGTGTTTAAAATGAGAAAAGGGTTCATACCCTATTGATATATATAACTTTAAAAAACCTATTTGCTATTATATAAGAGGATTTTGAAGAAGAAAATTATCAAGACTTCAATTGTTTCTTGAGTACAATGTATGTTGAGTTTCTGGACATATGCAAAGTTCTGTCTCTATTGGACATCCTCTCTGTGTGCTGAATTGCACAGGGCAAGGAGCAAGAAGTCTCAATCATTCACTGTTAGACTCTATATCCATGAAAGCAGGTAGTGTCTATTTTAATTTCTCAGGACCAATTATAATTCTTGGATATAAGTGGTGCTAGGTAACAATTGTAGTTATTGCATCAGCAAATAATATCTAAGAGAAAGGGAGTTCATTCTTTCTTGGGTCATCAAATACTATATAATTTCAAGAGAGGCAAGAAAACAGATCTATGTAGAAAATAACTTATTAAAAATTGGTTTCTTTCTAAGAGCATAGATGTAGCCCTTGCCCAGAAAATTGGAAATGGCATGGGGACAAATGCTACCAGTTCTATAAAAAGAGCAAGAGTTGGCAGGACTGTGACTCTTTCTGCACTGCTGAAAACTCAACCATGCTGAAGATTAAGACACAGGAAGTGCTGGTAAGGTCCTGAGTTTTGGTCAATGTTTGAAATATTCTCTAAAAGATATCTTTGAAGAAGGATAATCTAAGGAGTCAAGGTCCACAGACTCTCTCACTTATTTCAATCAGGGATTTGTATCAATTTATACATGTATATGTGCATGTATTTGAAAGTATATGTATGATCCCTGGCTGGGTGGCTTAGGTAGTTAGGACATAATCCTCTATACCTAAAGGTTTTGTGTTTGATTCCCAGTCAAGACACATTCCTAGGTTGCAGGTTTGATCCCTATTCAGGGAGCATATGGGAAGCAACAGATCAATGGTCCTGTCTTACATCAACCTTTCTCTTTCTCTAAAAATAAATTTAAAAAATCCTCATGTGAGGAATATATATGCACAAATTGTGTGCCAGTAGCTCGCTGCTACCCTCCTGTAGCTTTCTGCCCACTGCTCCACCCTCCTCTAGATCTTTCTGTCCTCCCAATAACTTGCTGTCCTGTGCCTTCCTGTAGCTCTCCACCACCTACTTGTAGCTCGCTGCCCCACCCTCCTGCTGATCCGAGATCTGGTCATTGCACAGTAGGTCGGTTGTTATGCCTCATGGCATTATGGATAATTAGCATATTCCTCTCTTATTATATAGGCTATCTATATAATAAAGAGCCAGGGTTGTAACGACCATTACGACCAAAGGCTAGACCAGACCAGAAGTTATTGTTGGGTTGCCGTGGTGACCCAACACTGCCTGGGGCCACTGCCAGTGCCTCAACCCAGTGCTGACTGCCTAGGGGGCTGCGGATCAGGCCCAAAGAGAGGCCTGCAAAGAAAGAGGTCGGGTATGATTCATAGCCTCTGTGGTGTCTGTTGATCAGCACTTGCCTTTTTCTCTCCCACCTGGCCAATAGCAGGGCCTTCATTCTCCCCAGGCCTCCACTGGGACTGTTGGTCAGCCCTGCCTTTCTAATCAGTCCCCATTGATAGGCCCAGAGATGCTGACTGGCATAGGAACTGATCAATCAGAACTAAAAGTGGGTGAATGTAAGGAGCCAATGGCTGCCTAGGAGGCAGAGCTTTTGACACTGACTGGCATAGAAACTGACCAATCAGAACCAAATTGGCTGGCAGAGGAGGGCAGTTGGGGGTGAAATCAGGCCGGCAGGGGAGGGCAGTTAGGGGTGATCAGGCAGTCAGACAGAGAGTTTAGGGGAAATCAGGCAGACAGCAGGTGAGTGGTTAGGAGCCAGAGGTCTCAGATTGTGAGAGGAGATGTCCAAGTCCAACTGCTGGTTTAGGCCCGATCCCTGACTCAGAGGAACATTGATCTCAGGGATCGGGCCTAAACTGGCAGTCAAACACCCCCTGGGGGTCCCTGGCTGAGGGAAACCCCCCTCCATGCACAAATTTCATGCACTGGGCCTCTAGTGTGTGTGTGTGTGTGTGTGTGTGTGTGTGTGTGTGTGTGTATGAAAATTTCTCTTTCTCCTCTTCCTAGTCTGAGACATAAGTCATCCTTCCAAAATCTTCTTTTATCTCTTTTAACATTAAATCTTTTCATTATTCTTTCTCCTTTTGGTCAGTTCCTTTTGCATATATTTCTAAAAGTTACTTCCTCATTCTTGCATTTTTTTCTTCCACTTCCCCGAATCACTTCACATCTCTTTGCAAATCTGCCTCCTGTATTTTTTTTTTTATATATGTGTCTTAGTATTTACTCCATGACTTGAAAATAATAGGTCACTCTTAAATCTTGGTTGATGTGCTTCTTTGTTTCAAAATATCAGTATGTCTCTCATGCATGAACAAATGAACTGACCTTAGCATAGATGCTTTCACTTAAATGAATTATTATCTATGTGAGGTAGGAATCATGTCTTGTTCTCATATTAAAAGTGTTGGATGCTACTGCACGTCACTGTGTATATATGTGTGTGTATTATAATATCTTTAAAAGCTAAACGTTTTCTTGTGTGCCTTTGCAGCAGTTTGCCATGCCTCAGAGCTACTCTGAGTTTTTCTACTCTTACTGGATAGGGCTATCCCGGAACGACAGTGACAAGGCCTGGCTGTGGGTGGATGGAGCTCCTTACACTTCTGAACTGTAAGCCTTCAGAATATCTTGTGGGAAAGGCATGTAATAGAGAGTGACAGACCAACAAATTGGCACTAACTAGACATTTGCTTTGTATTGGATACTATGTTTGTAGGAGGATGTCCTGAGGCAGACAGATAAAAGTGTTAATAAAATTGTAGGAAATAGGAAATATACAACTTAATCATTTTTATTTATTTAAAAAATATATATTTTATTGAATTTTTACAGAGAGGAAGAGAGAGGGATAGAGAGTTAGAAACATTGATGGGAGAGAATCATCGATCAGCTGCCTCCTGCACACCCCCTACTGGGGATGTGCCTGCAACCAAGGTACTTGCCCTTGACCGGAATCAAACCTGGGACCCTTCATTCCACAGAGGACACTCTATCCGAAGAGTCAAACCGGTTGGGAAATCATTTTTATCTTATAGTTAAATAAACTGAGTCATAGAGAAGGCAATTTTTATCAGATGGCTATAAAAGTACATGTTAAAACTGGATGATAACATGTACCATAATTTTAAATAGAAATAGTTTTGGTTGCTTTGTTTGATTTGATGCTTCAAAGAATGACCATGGAAATGGAGGGGCTGAAATGAAAGTGGTTGTTGACTTCATCTTTCCAGTAAACTCATTCTGGGCATCTCTTCTATAATTGTATCAAGCTAGGGATATTTCCTATGTACTTTCTAAGTGCTTAGTATTTCTTTCAATAAATAAAATATAATTAAGTTAACTTTTTTTCTTTTTTAAGGTTTAAGATTAAAATAGATTTCACCAGTTCAGGAGATGGGGACTGTGTGACCATTCTTAATGGAATGTTTTTCTCAAAGAACTGCCAAGAGTTGAGGCGGTGTGCGTGTGAAACAGTGGCGACCCCAGTCAAGTTAGAGAGACTTCCCTAAGCGGCTGTGAATCATTCATTCCATGAGCTGATTGATTGACTCTCCAACTTTGACTACAACTGTGTGCTCCCTCCCTTCAGAGAAATTGAAGATCAGAACAAAAGTCATTCTCTTTACATGCACCTGTAATAGTTTGGTTTCAAACTGTTCTCTCATTTGATCCACGTTTATGCAACAATTCAGCAAAAAGCTTGAGCCACGCAAAGTCAATGCAAAGGATATTTGAGACATAGGGAAATGGAAAAAATCTGGAAAGGCAATTGCTCTGACTGGCACAAGAAGATTTTTCATATTTCCTGCTCAAGATCATCAGTACTTCTGAGCTTGGAAGTTCATGCACATATTCACCAGTCACAAAGTATCCTATCACCAACTGGGCCCTGAAATCCATAAAATTGAAATCCACCTTCTTGATCTTGAGATAACTTTCTAGTGTTTCTTCTCTCTCAATATCTAATATTTTTTTTTGTTTCTATGTTTTCCTTAATACTTGGAGTGAGAAACTTAAACAGAGGAACTAAATGTATGTAAGATCCTTTGCTCCAACAGTCAATAAGTCCACGAGAAATTAGCAATAATTTCTTATACTGAGCTAACAAATACAAAGCTAATTCATTTGGTTTGCTTAAATTCATATATTTTTTTCATCTCAGTTTCTCAATAGAGCCCCCATCTGCTCTGGCTAATTCTCTTTATGGGAATCTTAACTTATTACAAACATACCTCTCCCTGTCTATTTAAGATTCCAATGATTGTCTCCTAGGAATTTCTTCTAGGATAGAAATAGTCTCAACTTGGTTCCATATCAGAATTACTATCCCTGATACTCCTTTCAGAGAGATTGACAACCAGAACAAAAATCAGTCTGTTTATGTGCATCTGGAATAGTTTAGTTTCAGTTCCTATTTTCTTCCATTTGATCCATGTTTATATCTTTCAGGTACTGGAGATTTAATAATAATAAACAATGTGAAGTGTGTGTGTGATTTTTAGAATGAGTTTGAGATTTGGGGGAAAAGTCAATAAGAAAATGTTCTTCAAAACATGATAGAAGTGTTTTGATTGTGCCTTATGAGACATTGTATGGGCTCTACAAGAGTACTGATTCTTTGATTGAGGGAAATAAGAAGTCTTGGAGATGCATTCTGTCTTCAAAAGGATGGTTTTAAGACTTTTTAAAAATGAAATCCTTTGAAGCAAATCTGTCATCAACACGTGGCTCAAGATGAGTAAAGCGAATTGTAGTAGGGCAAGTTATCTAACCAGGTCATGGAGAGTGAGAGGCTGTGACATACATGGTTGGCTTTTTGGGGAGGTGTCCCTTTCTCCGGATGACAATATGCACAGCCAGACAGGGGTCATATCAAAGAACACCATCATGAACACTGAGTTCATTTGTTTATAGATAAATCCATTTTAGGGCCTTAACACTAGAAAGGCTAATTTATTATAAATCTTTATTTTTCAGCAGTGGAACCTGGAATGCCTCAGTTTTATTTTCAGTAAACATCTATCTTATGGTGAAATGACATGAAGTTTGCAAACATATGATAAAGAGAACAGTTTTGTGTTAATTTTCATAAGGCTATGGCACCTATCAATGACTAATTACAGATTTCTCCTTTCAATTTTTCAGTCCATTGGCTAGGAAAATTCTTCATTGTTAAACAAATTTTGTGCTAATTTATTATGTTGTGTAAGAACTGCACTTGTAATCATAAAATGAGAATTTTTAGATCCCTTTGTTTTATTATTGCAAAATCACTTTATTTCAAGAAGTTTATTTCATTAAGTATAAAATGAAAATATTTATAATTTCTTTACAGTATTATTATTATTAACCAAAATGAGGTAAATGTGAAGTCACTTCCATAAACTAAATTGTAATATAAAATTTAAGGGATATTAAAAATATATAAAAAGAGGGGAAAGGGATTTAGTGGTTATCTATACTAATAAAAGGGCAATATGCTAATTAGACTGGGAGACCTGGGAAACCTTCTGGACATCCTTCCAGACAAAGCGATGGTGGTGGGGCTGAGGCAGAGGCGGTTAAGGGTGATAAGGCCTGCAGGGGAGGGCAGTTGGGAGCAAGCAGGCTGGCGGGAGGGGGGTGGCAGTTGGAAGCGAGCAGGCCAGCATGGGGGACAGTTCTGGATGAGCAGGCCAGTGAGGTAGGCAGTTGGGGGCGAGCAGGCCAGTGGGGGGGACAATTGGGGGACAAGCAGGGTGGCAGAGGGGTATTTGGGTGTGGAAAGGCCAGCAGGGAGGCACATGGGGGCGATCAGGCTGGTGGAGGGAGTAGTTGGGGGTGAGCAGGCTGGTCGGGGGGTGGGGGGTAGTTGGGGGTGATTAGGCCAGCGGAAGAGGGGGTTGGGGGCAATCAGTCTGGCAGGGGAGGGCAGTTAGGGGTGATCAGGCTAGCAGACAGAGTGGTTAGGGGTGATCAGGAAGGCAGGCAGATGAGCTGTTAGGAGCCAGCGGTCCAGGATTGTAAGAGGGATGTACGACTGCCAGTTTAGGCCCCAAAACAGCAGCTGTATATCCCCCGAGGGGTCTCAGATTGGAGAGGGCCCAGGTTGGGCTGAAGGACACCTCCTCTTCCCTCCCCCACCCCCGTGCATGAATTTTGTGCACCAGGACACTAGTTTTAAAATAAAGGGAGCACAAACAAACATAAGCAACCTTTTCTGGAGACCTGCATTAATGAACAAATTGTAGAAAGGCACCTACATTGGGGAGCTGTGGATGTTACCAAGTATTTTCCATGACGAGTGCACATATTTAATGCATGCAGTTAAAGTAGTAAGCACATAATATGAAATGTGGGTTAGACCTTTAGTTAGGCAGATAAGTGTTATTTAAATCTTGCTACTACAGCAAAAAAAAAATACAGTTAATATGAGGAAATCAAATGACTTTGTGGACTAACTTGTAAAATATAGACAGGGCACACTAATTTTGACTCGTGTTCAGGGTTGGATGACAAAAGTTTCTTTAAATGACATTGCTTTAGAAAGTTTACCTGCTTGGAAGATAGGTATTGAATAGTATTCTATCTCCAAATCTAAAACCTAAGGGAAAGTATCACTTTAAACAGTGAGGGAGGAAAAGAAACAAAAAAAGCACTTGTTTGACATTTTTGGCTGCTCTTGAGCTAATTATCTCTGTCTTTGCCCTCAATAACCCCCATATCTGTACAATAAAGCCCACAATATTGATCACAGTATGAGCAAACATATTAAAAAACAAAAAAGGAGTATGGTACAACATTCTCTCCACAATTTAAAACAATTTAAAAAATAGCCCTGGCCAGGTAGCTTAATTGGTTACAGCATCATCCCGATTTACCAGAGTTGAGAGTTCAATATCTGATCAGGGCACATACAAGAAGCAACCAATAAATACATAAATAAAATGGAACAGCAAATCTATGATTTTCTCTCTCAAAAAAAAAAAAAAATCAATAAATTAAAAAAAGAAATAAAAATTAAGAATAGAAAATAATTATAACATTAATTGGAAAATATGATTTGCTGAGATCAATTTTCCACTGAGAATCAGAGAGGGCAGTGCCTTCCGAATTGTTTTGTTTGTTTGTTTGTTTTTTGCAAGAGCAGACTTTGTCTAGGCTCTTGTGTGTGTAGGTAATTCTGAAGCAACTGTAGGAAAAGTTAAACGAGGAACATGCCTTTCCTGGTAGACCCAGTTCCCCAGGGTACAAAATGAGCTATTTCTTTTCCTGAGGATATTGAACCAGCTCTTAAAACTTATCAACAGGAAACAGGTCTTGGGCCCTATAACAGCAGGAAGTGTGAGCAGTGTAATGGGAGCTTTTTCTTTGGGGATATAAACAAATTATTAAATAAATAGTCTATTAGGTTGCCTCAGGGCTGGCCTTAATATTTGGGAGTCAAATAACTTGGTGAAGGGATTCTTATCAATTTTGAAGAATAGGAAAAGCAGCCTAATTCAAGTTAAATTGTACATAATTTTTTACAAGGTTCATTGTATGAGTAGACTAATAGACTAACGGTTATTAGTCTTTCAATCTTATTACTCTAATGTTTTGTTTTGTTTTTCTTTTTACTCAGTTAATGTACTTTAATGTACTTACAAGGCCTCTTTATTTTTGTAGGACAGATTTTTTTTTTTTACTTTTGCAATCAGGCAGGCAGGTGAACCGTTGGGAGCCAGCAGTCCTGGATTGTGAGAGGGATGTCCAACTGCTTGTTTGGACATCCCCTGAGGGGTCCCAAATTGAAGAGGGTGCAGGCTGGGCTGAGGGACAACCCTTCCCCCCCCCTCCAATGCATATTTACTTTTCTTTCCCATTTAAAAAAATATTTTTATTGATATTAGAGGGAAGGAAGAAGAGAGAGAGAGAGAAACATCAATGATAAGAGAGAATCATTGATCGGCTGCCCCCTGCATGCTCCACACTGGGGAGTGAGCCCGAAACCTGGGCATATGCTTTGATCGTGAGTTAAATAGCGACCCCCTGGTTCATAGGTCGATGTCTCAGCCATTGAGCCATGCTGACTGGGTTCTTTCCCATTTTTAAAAGCCAACTTGGAATTCATTGAGATGAATCAAGATACTCTATTTGCTACTGGTGTGGCTAGATAGGCTATAAAACTGATGATCCCAGGGCTAAGGCCCAGTCTCTTACCACTGCCTTGAAAAAGGCCTTCACATTCTGGACCAAAATCAACCCGCAGGAAAACACCTTCCACCTATAGTACTTGAGTGGACAGCAGTTATCTCCACTGAGGGAATTTAAAGGAGTTCTGCCAGCTGCACTGTAGATAAAATCCTGACTTGTAAATACTGCATCACATACCAGCGGGATGACGTCAGCTAAAGGATGTTTGCCTTTTGCTTCATTGTGCTTTTACCTAGAAGAATTATTAAACACTTCCTATGCTTCTCTAAACATAGCTCATGACAATACTTTGAAAAGTCTTGAAGACAAACAGTCTTCACTACTAAAAATTGCTATTGTTCCTCCTTTATTCCAGGTTATTAGAGCCAGCTGCCAGCTGCCAGCTGTGAAAACCAGACACATGCTGTTTTCTTGGCTTGTCTCCTTTTCTAGGTTTCAGCAGAAATCTAGAGAAAATCCCTCATATTGAAATCCCCACCGTTTAAACTGAAGGTTAAGGGTAAATAAAGAAAAACCCACAAAAACATGCAATTCTCTTCCTTAAAGGACCTTACTCTTCAGAGGCCACCTTTTACAATAGACTTACAGGTTTGCTTAAATGATTTACACCATTTCAGTGAATTAGGTTTTATTTTACTTTATTTATTTAAGTGCTATCTTTATTATAAAGAAAAATGAGAATCTAGTATAGCTCAGCTACTCCTTGTGAAAATGAAGATTTAATAAAATTATATTGCAGTTAGCAAATATTTAATGAGAATCTTCTGTGTAGTAAGTTATTATAGTGATGGTAAGGGGTAACAGAGTAATCTATATAATAAAGATGTAATATGCAAATTGACCCACCTGCTCTCATGTCACAAGATGGCCATCCCCATGTCATCACAAGATGGCTGCTACAAGATGGCCACCTCCATATCTTGTGATGACAAGATGGATGGCAGGGGAGGGCAGTTAAGGGTGACCAGGCCAGCAGGGGAGGGCAGTTATAGTGGTGGCCAGGCCAGCAGGGGAGGGCAGTTAGGGGTGGCCAGGCTTGGGGGGGGGGGGCATTAGGGACAAACAGGCTGGCAGGGGAGCAGTTAGGCATCAATCAGGCTGGCAGGGGAGTGGCTAGGGGGTGATCAGGGTGGCAGGCAGAAGCGGTTAGGGGCAATCAGGCAAGAAGGCCAGCGGTTGGGAGCCAGCAGTCCTGGATTGTAAGAAGGATTCTGACTGCCTGTTTGGACATCCCCTGAGGGGTCCCAGATTGGAGAGGGTGCAGGCTGGACTGAGGGACAAACCCCCCATCCTCTGTGCATGAATGTCATACACCGGGCCTCTAGTGTAATAATAACTAGTGAATTTTTCCTTCCCATAGATCATAAGATACTTTCATATCCACTGTCTCTTGAGAACAAGCTAATCCATGTTTGAGGAGCCTACAAATAGGACACAAATTATCTACAAATGTACTTTAAGAAATTTATTCACTTTAAAAGAGAAATTCTCTTCGGACAGTTGCTGGCATTTTACACATAAACTTTATCCTTCCAATACTCCTGGGACATGAGCAGGAAAAGGGATAACTTTTAGCTGGAATACAACATAAGGCAGATGCCTAGAGATGATTAGCGATTTACTACAAATAATAATAATAATAATAATAATAATAAAAATAGCAAGCACCTACACAGTGTCAAACGCTACCCAAGGCACTGTTCTTAGCAACTTACATATATTAATGATCTAAACCTCAAAAGTATTTTGAAATAAGTTCTCTTATTATTTTACAATAGAGAAATGAAGGCACAGAGGGATACAGTTAGAAGTGCTGGAGAGCTAACCTTTGAGAGTCCTTTGATTTGTGAATTGTGGGGATGGTCAGTGAGAGGAAGAAGGGAAGTCCACAGCTCTCCTTCACCAGAGACAGGCTGGTATTGGCAGGCTGACTATCCCTTCCATTTTTGTGAGTGCTGGAAGTTTATCTCTCTAGAAGAAATCCACAGTTCTAAACAGGGCATTGTCTTACAGGCAACAGATATCAGTATCTCTTCCTTCCAATTTGATAGTCCATATCCCGGGGTCCTATCCTACCAGTCTGATAAAGATGCATTGGAAATCTATTAAATGCATGAAAGATGTGGTAGCCCTGACTGTTTTGCGCAGTGGATAGAGCGTCGGCTTGTGGACTAAAGGGTCCCAGGTTCCCAGGTTCGATTCCAGTCATGGGCATGTTCCCTGGTTGAGGGCACATCCCCAGTGGGGAGTGTGCAGGAGGCAGCTGATTGATGTTTCTCTGTCATCGATGTTTCTAACTCTCTATCCCTCTCCCTCTCTGTAAAAATAAAAAATAAAAATAAATCAATCAAATATATTTTTAAAAAAGATCTGGCAGACAGTGAGTTTTAAAGTCAGCATTTATTTATTTAAAAAATTAGTCAGCTAGAACTGCATCATCTCCCTAGTGACATAGATTTCTGTATAGTTTATGGTCAATCTAGACTAAAAACAAAAACAAAAAGACAAATGGAAGTGATTTTCTTCAGTTTGTTTTCAACCTTTCAGGGTTTTATCTTCTGTAGTCTTAAATCAATTTTATTCTTGGCAATTTAAACACTGTCAAAAGGATGTCTGTGAAGCATGCAGGAATATTACCCATGGTAAATGCAAAAATAAGTTTCAAGTCCCACATAGCTAGTTTAGACCACATAGAAGTTCACTTCTGCACTTGCTCGTTGGCATTTCTTCGAAATCAACTTCTTTCAGGCAGGGGATCTTAATGTGTACTTCTCACAGATAAAATATTTCCAAGCGGTACAGTTAGTGGGAAAAAGAACCTTGTCTCTGAAGTATCCACAGAGCTGGTGAGTTGATTGGGCTTTCTTTATTGGTAACCTGGAGAGAAGAGTCAGTATACCTGAGGTTAGGTATGGGGCTTATGGAGGTATTCCTGTGGGTAACTTATGAGATGTGTGTAACTTTTTGTTTTGTTCTACTTTGTTTTAATATGGCACTCTCCTATAGTAGTTTTGCCCCCCTTATTCAAGAACAGAGCTGTTTTCTCTCAATAAAAGTATGTTAGTGCCGAAACCGGTTTGGCTCAGTGGATAGAGCATCAGCCTGCGGACTGAAGGGTCCCAGGTTCGATTCCGGTCAAGGGCATGTACCTTGGTTGTGGGCACATCCCAAGTGGGGGGTGTGCAGGGGGCAGCTGATCGATGATTCTCTCTCATCGATGTTTCTAACTCTCTATCCCTCTCTCTTCCTCTCTGTAAAAAATCAATAAAATATATATATTTTTAAAAGTATGTTAGCATAATGTGAACAAACTGTATATGTAAGCATACAGATAGGCTCTAGAGTAGAATATCTTGCCTAACTCTTAATTCTCAAAATACTAAGGGACTCTATTTTGTTCACCAGTTTCTCTATGGTCTATTTGAAAAGCTAAATATGGAAAATCCTTAATAATTACTATAATCTCTTTTCCTTAGCACTCTCTAGTTATTAAATTTACAAAGGAAAATATATTAGATAAGTAAATAATATTATTCAGACTCTCAGATGTTGATATAAATGTTCTAGAGCAGTGGTTCTCAACCTTTCTAATGCTGCGACCCTTTAATACAGTTCCTCATGTTGTGGTGACCCCCAACCATAAAATTATTTTCGTTGCTGCTTCATAACTGTAATTTTGCTACTGTTAATGAATCATAATGTAAATACCTGTGTTTTCCAATGGTCTTAGGAGAACCGCTGCTGTAGAGCCTAAGACCATTGGAAAACACAGATATTTACATTATGATTCATTAACAGTAGCAAAATTACAGTTATGAAGCAGCAATGAAAATAATTTTATGCTTGGGGGTCACCACAACATGACCCTGTATTAAAGGGTCGCAGCATTAGAAAGGTTGAGAACCACTATTTTAGAGTGAGGCAGTAAAGCTGAGTAGAAGGCTGAGAAGAAGGAAAGAAGAAGGTTTAGAAGCCATGAAGCTATGCTTAAACTACTCAGGCTTGATTCCAATCAAAAGTCAAAAGAAATGATAATGTTGGGTATGTGTTCTGGAGGACATCTCAGGTATAAAATAAAATGAACATTTGAATTTCCTTATGTATTTTCTTCTTGAAACGTTGTGATTTTCCCCTTAGACACTTACAGGTCAAGGGATGGAGTGGAGCCATCTTGCCAAAGCCAAGGTTGGCTGGGTCCATCCTGAGAAAGCCCCACCCAGTAATCCTGGCCACTTTTGATCTTTCTCAGGCTGCCAGCGATGAAGTCCTATAAGAAACAAGACCTGGTGGTGAACTGAGGGTGTGGGGAAAACAAAACAAAATACCATGAAATATAAAGTGTGCCAATTTTCCTAAACAGAAATGAATGGAACTTTAAAGCTGGAGAAAGGAGAGGGTGTATTTAAAAGAAGAAATACATTTCATAGAGTTTATTTTCTATTGCCTTATGGTCAATGTAGTGTTGAAGATCATGGGGAAAATAGGCATCTGGTATTAAAATTGTTTTAACAGATTTAGAGTTTGGTAGAGCTGTATGTCAAACAAGGTAAGTGTTATACCTAATCAGAAGTAAAGTATCCTCGACATCAATATACCATGTAGATTATTCTTTCACAGTATACTTCAAAATGAAAAATAGTATGGAAGATTCCAGAAGCAACTTAACTGTAGGTATATTTTTTGTTAGAGGAAATATTGCTAATGTTGTCACCAAATTTGCACAGAAAACGTAAGGAAAACTCAAACTTGTAGTAAATTAGTTCAAGTTGCCTTGCTTTACTGCATATAGTTAACACATGTTCCCTCATTATTCTTGTAAAAATTACTGGATATAACTGCATATACTTAATAAAGTCAGAAATGTATAATCATGAATTCTACTTCATATATATATATATATATATATATATATATATGAATGGGATGATTTCAGGAAAACTTCATTGTTTGCTTAAGATGTTAGTAAACTGGGTTTAATGTTAACAAAACAATTTATTTAGCAAATGCTCATTTCCATACACCTTTCCATTTCATGACAGCACCTCAATTTTTATATCTCTGATTTTCTTTGATAGTTGAAAAATATATAGTTTATTATTCTTCCCTACAGCATTAAAAATAATAAACTTAAAACATATATACAATGATAATTATTTATATTTTAAAGTTGATTAGCATGTCACAAGATGGTATTTCTTTTACTCGTTCTCATCTTTGATTAACAAAGGACATAGAACTCTCATCTGCTAAATGTTTTCAGGATAACCGTTCTGTTTTTTGTTTTGCTTCTCCAGTTAAAAGGAACACAAATCATATTAATTCTTACTTTATCCCTTTTAAACCTTTACTACAACAAATATATTACTGTCATAAAATATTAAGGGATTCTATCTTATTTACCATTAGTCCTTTCTTTTAATGGGTAACATGGGATTTTCAGAATGATATGAAGCCATAAAACAGCGTTTACCATTTCTTCTTTGCTCTCTATTTGTAGAAGATGAGAGCCCTCCTTCAAACAATCCTCTTTACTATTTTTCCAAATTTTCCAAGTTTCAAAGACACGGTAGCAACTATCTCCATTCTGAATCCAGTTGTCTGGACAAGGAGCTTTGAATAAAACATTTTACTTTATTAAAGTGATTATAAAAAATATTAGAAAAACATCTCTCAAAAGGACACCTTGAATCACCCCCAGTGAAGCTGACTGCTCTAATTGAATGGGTCCTAGGTTGTAGTACTTACCAATTTCAGCTTCTCTGAGGCTCGCTCTAGTAATATTTATACAATAACTTTCAAGTACAACAGGTCTCTAAATTAGTTTAAGATAAAATTAACTTGGGAATATCTTTTTTCAAATTGTTCCTCTTCTATAAGAATTGATACGATTATTTTATTTTTATAAATATCTCCTTTCCTTAAGTTTACCTCATTTATAGTCCTCATTTTTTTTAATTTTTTAATTTTTTTGCTTATAATTTCCTATCTGTTAATCCTACTGGCCCAGTCTAGTGGGAAATGTATTGGACCATTAGGCAAGTTGAGTAATAAGCCTCAAGTTAATGCTTAAATTATGAGAGTTAAACATGAAAATTTTAACTGCCCCCTTTGGAGGGGCAGAAGCCAAGCTGGCAATTGGAGAAGCAAGACAGGGGCTGAGCCAACGATGGGAGGGGGCCTAAAGCCTTGGGCAGGGGCCGAGCCTGCCATCAGAGGGAAGGAGAAAAAGCAATGGAAACATATCCTCAGGTGAGGATAAAAAAAGAAAGAAATGTCCTATCCTATGAAAGACACATCTTGAAAGTACCTAAAGAATGTTGTCATTTTTTCATGGTGAAGGGACTGGAGTACGTGTTGATGAAAATACCTTGGCAGCTATGGTGACTGGCAGTGGCTGCAGCAGTGGGGTGATGGGGCTGGTGTTTTCCCCTAATCAGCCTTGTCGCCTCCCACTGGGAGTGGGCCTAAGCCATCAGTAGGACATCCCCTGAGGGCTCCCAGTATGTGAGAGGGGACAGGCTGGGCTGAGGGACCCCTCCCCAGTGTAGAAATTTTGTGCACTGGGCCTCTAGTACAGAAATAAGACTGAACTAGTGAGTGGATCAAATGATGTCTCTTCTATTATAAAATGCTGACTACAATTTTGCAGAAAATAAAATAAATATCATTGATTTGCACTGCAGGGTTGGTGCATACATTCATATCTGCAAAGTGAAAACTTATTTTTATATCAGTTACCTGATCTGAAAGAGTTTTGCATCAAGGTTTGGCAATATCTTATCTGGAAGTCATGACTTGTCTTCCATTGTGTGAAGTTCAACAGCGCTCTCTCTTGTTGCATGAGTTTTTCTTGCTGCTTCTTTGCAATAGCTGACACCTGGAACACTTCAAACAATAGCAATCATTTCTACCAAATTCTTAACAACTTATAACAGAGTCATCCTTTAACACAGACTTAAACACAACTACCACTTACTGATGATTTTTGTGACATTAGTTTGTATTATTTTGTTTTTGTTTAAAAATTTACATTGTTCAAGAATTATCTACTATTCTATGCCATACACCTAAAATAATAAAAATAATATTGAATTTAAACCATAATTAAAAAATTAAAATTAAAAAATATATGTCTAAAGAAAATGTGGAGGAAAACTTTATTAATAAAATTAATAATTATTGAAAACAAAACAATTTATATTGTTTAAGAATGCAAACTAAAAAGGATATGCAGCAAAAAGCTCCTTTGCTACCTGGTCTTTGTATTCATTCAATTCTACTCCTCTAAAGCAATCAGGCTTACCAATTGCCTTTTTATTCTTCCAGAGGTATTTTGACTGTTACAAGCAAATGAACATAAACTGCCCTTCCTCATCTTTACACAAATGGTAACAACCTGTTTACATGTTTTTGCACCTTTTAGTACTTAAAATATATTTTGGACAAAATTTTATGTCAGTACATAAAGAACTTTATCATTATTTCATTATAACTATATAGGAGTCCATTGTATAGATGTATCATGAGTTTAGAAAATTTCTATTGACTTTTAGACTATTTCTTATTTTTTGGTTTTACAGAAATGACTACTGTAACAAAGTACCTTAGTCATATGTAATTTCACCATGTGTGAGTATATTTTTAAAATAAGTTGCTAGGTCAGTTTATGTGCATTTATTTAAACCATGTATTTAAATTCCAAATTACCCTCCACATGTGCAAATGGCATCTTAATATCATTGAATTTACACTTCTCCTTTTATGTTTGATGTTGAAACTTTTTTTTGCATACAATTAAATGAAAGTCAGTTGTATTTCTTTTTTAAATGAAGTATATAATTATATCCTTTGTGAATTTTTTCATTGGGTTTCTAGTTTTTTCCTTTTTGTTTCTACCCTGTTTCCCCAAAAATAAGACAGTGTCTTATATTAATTTTTTCTCCCAATGTTGCGCTAGGTCTTATTTTCAGGGGATGTCTTATCTTTCCATGTGCTAGGTCTTATTTTTGGAGGATGTCTTATTTTCGGGGAAACACGGTATCGGTTGCTCATTGTGCTAAGAGAGCTAATTGAGAAGGCCTGGTTGGAATCAACCTAATCAGCGCTTCTAAAGTTCCTGCATGGAGCTGATCCTTGCACTAGGCATGGAACACATGGAACACTAGGAGTGTAGCTTTGTAGCATCGGTCTGAGAATTTTCTTTGGAGAGATGATATTAGCTGGTCACTCTTGTTTCTTTCTTTCTTTCTTTCTTTCTTTCTTTCTTTCTTTCTTTCTTTCTTTCTTTCTTTCTTTCTTTCTTTCTTTTTAAATATATTTTATTGATTTTTTTTTACAGAGAAGAATGGAGAGTTAGAAACAACCATGAGAGAGAAACATCAATCAGCTGCATCCTGCATGCCCCCTACTGGGGATCTGCCTGCAACAAGGTACATGCCCTTGACCTGGGACCCTTCAGTCCACAGGCTGATTTTCTATTCACTAAGCCAAACCGGTTACAGCAGTTTTGTTTCTTAATGACAAATGATTGATGATTCACCCCTGGTTACAAAGAGACCCTGAAAAGTCCCTGCTGTTGAGCCTGGTTACCGAGAGGGAATGTGCCTGGGTGGTCAGCAAAACATCAAAATTCCCAGCAAGATTTGGGGCTCTCTGGTACCAAGGTGTTCTGAGTACACATCAGTAGCTCCTGATTCAAGAGAGAAATTGTGTCCTGAAAAGACCTTGCAAGGGAAGAAGTAGATGCGTGTCTGCATCTGGCCTCCCCAGACCTCTTATTGTAACAGGTGTCCTTATGTTAATACTGTTGTTAAATTATATCCTCTTCTTGTAATAAACTGTAGATCGATCTGAAATGCTTTGACTTTGGGGATCACTGTCCTTCACGTCTTCTGTAGCAACCCCCAGATGGCTCATAGTTGTCTTGTATCATTTATTGACTCTTTCCTCTCCATACTCTGTATTTGCCATCCTTCACTTACTGCAAATTTCCATCAAAGTATCTGATTATGGAGTATTTCTATTGTTTTGAGGATATTCAAATTATCTACTTATCTTTTCATATATCAGCACCACATGATTTCAGTTACTTTCAATTTTTACTTTATTTTAATATCTCATAGGGACAACCCTATTTTCAGATTACTTTTATATTAATTTTTGCTTATTTTCTTCTTATAACTCTGGCTAGCTTAGTAAGCTAGTTCTTTTTCAAAAATCACGTTATAAAGTACCTATCTTTCCCTATATAATTAAATATTTATCCAAGCATGAATATTGATTTTCTTAATCCTATTTGACTTTTATAGAATTTCTTGAATCAGTGGCTTCATGTTTTTAATTAATTAGGGAAAATACTTATCCAATAGATCTTATAATTATACTACTTTCTTCTACTTTTGGGTTTATTATTGCATGTACAATAGTTACTATGCCTCAAAAAATGAGGCTGAGCTTTAATTTTGCTGTGTTCCTAATAGTGAATATTGTCATGAAGGGAAAGTTTGTGTATAAAAATAGAAAACAATTTGCATTTTTATGTTGTTTGTCTCCCAATTAACTGGTCAACATTCACAATAAATATTTAATTGCATATCTGCGTATGCTGACCTTTCTTAGTCTTCCACATTGCTACTGCGAAGGAAATGCTAAAACCAAGAGCCTTGGACTAGAGAAAGCAGATGCTTATGCCCCATCCATCTCCCGATAGTACAAGTAACCCAGCTGTCAGTGGCTTATTTATTTTCCTTCTGCACAAAAGGCTGCATCTCATGAGTGGGGAGTAGGATAGTGGTGTTATTTATTTTACCCTATTAATAACCTGGCACATTGAAACAATGACAAATAATAAACTTCCTTTCAGGACTTTGAAGTATTAATCTACAGTGTTTAATTTTGATGACTATCTTAGGTTCACTATATTTGGGGGCTATTGTTGCTTTGCTTTATTACTACTTGAAGAGCTTGTACCACATAAAACGGTAATAAAACTGAGAAAAGGAAATGAGACTTTTCTTTAGTTTCCCCCCAAAGTGGGAAGGAAGGTACTGCACCTTTATTAGTGCTGGGGTTATAATTAGTTTGGAACCAGTAAGGAATAAAATATTTAAACAAAGTAATTACCTGGGGAAATATGGAACAACATATTTTTAGGAGGAAATAAAAATATTTGTTGTAGGCCTGGCCAGTGCTGCTTAGTGGTGAGGGTAAAAAAATGTATTTGTTATGTTATATGTTTTACCTAACTGATGAATCAGGAAAATGAAGAAGAATAGTAAAAACAAATGAAAAAAATCTGATTTCTTAGAAAATGGTTTACACTATGGAGTTTTTAAAATAGTAAGTCAATTAATATAAGTAATATGTTAAGAGAAAACCAGAAAACACAAAATAGTAGCATGGAAGCAAGAAATTACTTCCACTTATCTCTAAAATTACCACTCCTTTAATTCCTCCTCCTTCTCCGCCTTGCTTTATGGTATCCCATAGTGTGGAATTAATTAAATTTCATTAATTTAAATGGTCCCTTAATCATAGGCATTTGAGTTTTGTTTAATATATTGCACTCTCTTTTGCTACACATGCAGGTTTATCTACAGGAAAATTTTTCAAAAGTGAGATTTATGTGTCAAAACCAACCAATATGAGTTTGTTAGGAACATGACTGTCTTTGTTATCTAAACAGATTTTATGAACTATGCGAGAAGAAAAAGTTAAGTATTCATTGGAGAGCAAGTTTTTGAGGAAATGTACAGTATGCTTTCATTAACATATGTAGTATGTACTACATGCTTTTCAGTGATATAAGAATTGCTGATTGCAGAGAATAAATTATTTTTATTAATTTTTGATACATTATCCTATATAAAAAACATCTAATATGCAAATTGTCCTCTCAGGAGTTTGACCAGATGTTTGCTATGAGGAGTGGCTCGGAACATGGCAGGTGTTAGCGTTGCAGTGCTGGCAGTGGACAGCAGTGAAGGCACTGCTGGCTCCGATGGGCCCTGATGAGAGTGGGACTGTGGTGGGATGGTAGAGCAGGTGAGTGAGCAGCATTGGGCTAAGGCAGGTGTGAGTCGGAGGCCCAATCGCCTTGCTGGTCTCCCTGCAGATGGCAACCAATGGCGATGGCAGGGGGAGGTGTGGCTGCTTGGCTCTGAGGCACGGAGAGAGCTGGGTGGAGGGCCCAGCCCCCATTGATTGCCCTGAAGGTGGGATGGTGGAAGAGGTAAGGGGGCGGCACCAAGCCATGGCTGGGTGCCAGGCGGGCTGTTAGGCTGGGGTGCGAGCTAGATACTCGAGGGACCCCACCTGTGCATGAATTCGTGCACCAAGCCTCTAGTTTTTATATAAAAACAAATCCTATATCCTGTTCACTTCAAAATGTTGCATCTTCATTTAATCTTTTTTTTAAATTGGAAGTGTTCTTTGTAGTTTCTTTCATTTTCTCACCCCAAGTAGTTTACAGTACATCATTGACATTTATTATGTAGAATTGATACTCAAACCACAGCTGTTGATATTTGCAATGCCAGTTAAATATGGCCTATTTTTAAAAAATATGGATTCTTATAGTTAGAAGAAAACTTGGCCATATTCTAAAGTTCCCAGTTTTTACAGAAGAAACTAGATTAATATGTTAATTAACTGTTAGTTCTCTTTCAACTCTGCAAATCTGCTTCCAGTATATCTTCTTTTAAATAAAGACTGGCATTTGATTTAAATATGTTTATTTAAATATATATATTTAAGCATATATATATATATATATATATATATATATATATATGCACAGAGAGAGGATGAGATGAGATAAAAGCTTTCTGGAAGTTCTAATATTTATGCTAGCCTATGAAATTTTATTTGGGGAGATAGACAAAGTAACAATTACTTTTTGAGCTCCTAGTAATTATTAAAGCATTCTTTTCAGAACCACTAGGAAAATGAATTCATAGCTGAACTGATTCAGGTCAAGTTTCCTGTACTTTTGTAGAAGCAAATCTGAACCCTTCTCTTCCTCATTTCAGAACTCATAATTCTCAGTCACCAGCTAATGCCTCCTAGGGAGAGAAATGATTTGCCAAAGCATACAAGAGAGAAAAATCATCTAGACAATAACCTTCATCTCTGCCTCAGCATATTTCTTGGAGGTAGCATGAGTTAAAATAAATTTTCTTAGTCATTTTTGTGGAACTTGCAGCTCTGTAATTATTATATTACATAAAAAAGCGCTTGCTAGAGATGGAAACATTTCAAATTTGGAATAAATAAATGTTATTAAATATGGCCCAAATAAAGTTCTCGGGCTTGTGTTAAACATTAAATTGCTCTTTGTCTAAAGCAAAGTGAAAATTCTTATTAAAATAATCTGCACAAGTTTAGAACAAATGCATATTAGGATATATAGAGCATTTACTGAAATTTTTCACATGCTAACATGATTCACATAAGTAATTATTTACATTATTTTTCCCAAAGAGACTCATAGCTTTAGATTTGAGTTAAACACCATGCCATTGAACATTAAAAGTTATAACAGCATCCAAGGGCTTATAGTGTTATATTAAATCAATGTTCCATAAATTACCTTAGGAAATCATTATGATTGACATTCAGATGTTTGTGATTGATTTATTTGTCCATTTGTAAACTACGAAGTTTTATTCATTATAACATACAGATGCAATTGCATGTCAAATGACATGTCATATATAATACATACAGATTTTTAAAAAGATATCCTTTTGTACTTACACTTAATACCCAAGAAAACGGAGGCAGTTAATGAGCCCAGGCAGAAAACACAGGCTATCACCATCATAAGACACCATGATCCTAAACAGGGAGTAAGGACAATAAAATTGAGTTAGACAAAGTAGGTTAAAGGGATAATGGGCCAGGATAAGACTAGGCTGAGTGAAAGAAGGAATTAACCTTAGGCATTTCAACCACAGAATTGTTGACACCATGTAACTGTAACAGTGAAAAGAGAACTCCAAATCTTTGAAATGCAAATTATAACTTGGAATACAATTATAAAAATGTTAAATTAAACTGGCATTTTTAATAACATGCTTCTACCTTTATATGTATACGTGATGCCACAAACTGACTAACTAGATATATGTATTCTTTTCCAAAATATTTTTGAGATTGTCACAAATCAGGCAGCAACCTTTTATTTTTGAAAGCAAAGGTAATATTGGTATGGTGCATCTCCTCACCCCTTTTTAATGTCACTTGAACATGATTGGTTCAAAAACATTTTTTAAATGTATTTTTATTGATTTCAGAGTAGAAGGGAGAGGGAGAGAGAGATAGAAACATCAACAATGAGAGAGAATCATTGATTTATCTGCCCCCTGCGGATCGGACCAGCAACCTGGGCATGTGCCCTTAGCGGGAATTGAACTCAGGGTCCTTCAGTCAGCAGGACTCTATCCATGAGCCAAAACCATCCAGGACCAAAGACATTTCTTTTTAAACATACAGTTTTGAATGAAGAACTTTTTCCCCAGCGGTAATTTTGCAACTATTAAGGAAGAAAAAAACAGACTTTGTAACCGGTGGTATTCTCAACACTCATAGAAAAGTAGATAAAATTTATCTTTGTACAGTGGGGTAAGCTGAATAATATACCAGCCCAAGATCCCTGTGTTCAAATCCCTGGAACCTGTAAATGTTACCTAACGTGGCAACAGAGACCGAAGATGGCCGAAGCTGGTTTGGCTCAGTGGTAGAGCTTCGGTCTGCGGACTGAAAGGTCCCAGGTTAGATTCCAGTCAAGGGCATGTACATTGGTTGCGGGCACATCCCCGGTAGGGGGTGTGCAAGAGGCAGCTGGTCGATGTTTCTCTCTCATCGACATTTCTAGCTCTCTATCTCTTTCCCTTCCTCTCTGTAAAAAAATCAATAAAATATACTTAAAAAAAAAAAAAAAAGAGAGACCGAAGATGTAATTAAGTGAACACATTTAAGATAGAGAGCTTATGCTGCTCTTCCATGTGGGCTCTTGTAAGTGAGGGGTAGGGTTTCAATGGGACAGAGTGCAGTGGGGTGTTGGAAGCAGACCGGATGCTGCTGGCTCTGAAGAGTGAGGAAAAAGCCCTGAGCCATGGGAACAGAGCTCTCAAACTGGGAAAGAACAAGGGAATGGATGGTCACCTGGAGCCTCTAGAGCAGTGGATCTCAACCTTCCTACTGCTGTGACCCTTATGCTGTGACCCTTTAATACAGTTCCTCATGTTGTGGTGACCCCCAACCATAAAATTATTTTTGTTGCAACTTCATAACTGTAATTTTGCTACTGTTAATGAATCGTAATGTAAGTAAGCCCAGTTCAGACTTCTGGTCTCTAGTCCTGTAAGTGAACAAATTTGTGTTGTACGAAGCCCCTGGGTCTGTGGTAATTTGTTACTTCAATAATAGGAAACTGATATTAAATATTAAACTTAATAAAGACAGAACTGATTACTATAGCAGACAGCTCCAGGCTGATGAGATTTGACTAGTTTTTCAATGTCCATTTTCCCTTTATTTCTTAATATTTATCAGACAATTTATTGCAAAAACTGAAATAATAAAAAACATGATTTCCCCACTTATTTTCCAAATACAGGAATTCTTTTGGGGAGAAAGATAGAATTACACATTCGTCAAGTCCATTGCTCTTTCCATTTCATCTTTACTGACTACTCTTATTTTTTATTTCATTAGAAAAATTTTATTGATATCAAAGAGGAAGGGAGAGGGAGGAGAGATAGAAACATCAATGATGAGAGAGAATCATTAATCAGCTGGCTCCTGCATGCCCCACACTGGGGATAGAGTGGCAACCCAGGCAAGTGCCCTGACCAGGAATCTAACCATGAGTTCCTGGATCATAGGTCAATGCTCAACCACTGAGCCACTCCTGCCAGGCTATTTCATTTTTTAATGTTAGCATAGTCTGCACATTATTATATTCTAAAATGGGTTACCTCATTTAGAAAAATCACCTGGGCTCAATATGTAATGGGAAACAAAACATACACTGCAAAGTCTTGGACCAAATAATTAGGGCAGGTTACCTGAACATTTGGTGGAAGACTGATGTTTCTGGGAAGGGTGTGGTGTTGGAGTGTCCCACTGAAGAGAGGTATAGAGTTCTTCATCCTGCATGTCTGAGGGGCTTTGAGAGGTGAGGCAGTCCGCACGAGAAGCCAAGACAACTCCTTTTGTAGTCAGGAGCAGATTGGTGAAAGAACTGAAATTGGCTATTTTTACACACCTGTTGGAAAATATGTTGGGGTTTAAGGAATAGAATAATACATCTTCATCCAGAAAGTAGAAGTTTATGAAGTTTAAGGCATAGCACCACTTGCTAAAGAAGGAAATGAGAAAGGAACTGAACTCAAATGGCCAATGACAGAACCTGCGATTGGTCTGGTTTGTGAGATGTAGCAGATGTTGAAGGGGATAGCACTGCATTGCTGTTAAAATGAAAAGAAGTGCAAAAAAAATGTACTTACGTTTGTTATAGGACACAAAGCATGGGAATGACCTAGGCAGCAAAGATACAAAGGTAGCTCACTTTGGACAATCCAGGATGTAAGGAGTCGTGGTCCATCACTGTGCATCCTTAAGTAAGAAAGCTAGGAAGAGATTGCATCCCTAAAATAAATTTGCACACTGTGCTAGGCTAATGCAGTTGCTGTGAGAAGTAAATCTCAAAATACCAGTTTAACACAATGAAAGTTTATTTCTTGCTCCAGTAATTTTGGTTACTGGGTAGTTTTCATTGCAATGGGACCCAGATGCCTTCTGTCTTGTGAAACATTAAGTCTTCTACTTCTAGCTATTGGAATGGAGAAGAGAAGATGGCAAATCCACATCTTAAAAGCTATCCCCTAGAAATAACTTATCACCTCCACATGCACTATTGTGACACCTGTGTTTGGATCTAAGGCTGGGCCTGATAAATGGAACTTTTGCCTGGCTGGCAAAGTTTCTATGACAACTTCACTCTATAAGGAACACATGAATTATTTAGTAGGTAGATGGCTATTTCTGCCACATCCTGTGCCTATTTCACTGGTATTGAGAAACTTGATACTTTAATTATCATTGATCATTTGTCCTACGGCTAAAGGTCACCTCTCAGTAATTTACCATCTGCAAACTCCAACAGTCTGTGAAATTGCAATGTTCTCTTTGGTTTCAGTGTTTCACTGGATCAATCATTGATCTCTGCTACAGAAGGAAACAAATGGCTCTCAAGGGTATTCTATTTCATAAAGATGCCATTTATGAAGTTTTGATAAGGAAGCCACAGGCCAAATCTACCCTGATTATGCTGTTCATTTGAGTTCTGCCTCCCAAAGCACAGAGCGGGGATAAGAAGAACTCAAGAAGTAAATGAAGAATATCCAGAAAATTCTCCAAGTATTTTATATGATTTTCATGTTACCTGAGATTCTGATGTGAAAAATAATGTGACTTAATCAATGATAATATTTCTACCTTCAGGAGAAAAAAAAAGTAGAAACAATAAACATACCAAATGTACATTAAGACTAATGTCAGGAACATAATTCAAAGTGTTGCCATTAATCTCTAGATTCTCTTAAATTTCATCAGCACTTTGCATTCTCTAAAACCTTTGGGCTCTCCTAATAGAAGATTAATGTGACCTGTGTTTTATTTTTGTGTGTGTGTGTGTGTTTTAAAAATATATTTTATTGATTTTCTACAGAGAGGAAGAGAGAGGACAGAGAGTTAGAAACATTGATGAGAGAGAAACATTGATCAGCTGCCTCCTATACACCCGCTACCGGGGATGTGCCCACAACCAAGGTACGTGCCCTTGACCGGAATCAAACCTTGGACTTTTTAGTCTGCAGGCCAACGCTCTATCCACTGAGCCAAACCGGTTTCGACTATGTTACTTGTTTTATACTTGATGTTTTTTAATCAAACTTATTTGCTGTTCATTATTTTCCAAGTACTGTTTCAAAGGGCTTTGACATGAATTATTGTGATTGTCACAAATTTATAATATGGGTGTTGCTATTAACTTGTTTGTAAATTGAGTCACAGAGAAGTCAAGTTATTTACCAGTTTACTTATGTAGTAAGTAGAAAAGTTAATATTTGAAACCAAGTGGTCTGATCATAGTACTTGTGCTATTAAAGTCTGTGGTATTCCAAGTTCATGTACAAAATGCTTTTGATATGAGTACCAAAACAAAAACAAAAACTAAAACAAAAAACAAAGAATTTCTGTAAGCACAGTTTTATTGGTCACATTTGTAATTAATTACATTTTTGCCATGCATGGAGATATTAGTCTTTGAAATTTTGGTGTGCCATAGTGATGTATATATATATTTTTTTCATTTGGGGGACAGAAAACATTAAAGTCAAGACATATGATTGCCTTTAGATAGTTTTTGGAATTATTAGTTACTATTTGGTTTCTCTAAATAAAAAGTTAAAATAGAAAAATAATGATACTAACCAGAAAATGCCAAGATCTTGAGACATTTTAAATGGAGGCAGAATCTGAGGTATTTTGTTATTCCTCCTTCTGCCTCCCTCCTGCATACCCCCCCTCCAAAAAAAAATAAAATAAAATAAACAAACCCTGTTCATTTACAGGTAGTATAAAACAAGATAAAGACTTAAATATCTTTCAATGCTAGCATACAAAGCTGTTAAAGTAATACACATTTATTGAGTGTTTATTACATGCTTGATACTCTGCTTGATGCTTTATATAATCACAATAATCCTCACAATTACCTCATGAGTAAGGTAATAATATTAAACTAATTTTATAGGCACCAGAAAAGCTGAGTTTGAAAGAGACTAAGTAACTTACAAAAGCCAGATAGGGATTGAGTTCTAAAGTAATACTAGTTGAAATCTACTGAAGTTGACATATCAGAATCAACTAAGGGAGCTTATTAAAAACATAGGATTGTCTCCTTAGCCTTTTAACATAAGCATTTGTATTTGAACATCTAGTGTTTTCACAAACACCTCAGTTGAGAAGTTTGAGAATCATGTTTATAAATTTATTAGCACTAATTTAAGAAGAAAATGTACCTTCAGAGAAGCTGTGGAAAGGAAATGCAATTTTTGCCTGTTATATTAAAGCGTGCCTCTCCACAGGTCTATAAATATTTCACGAGTTACTCAGCAAAAAAAAGAAGCACAGAACTGTCAGGAAAAGAACTAGATAAAGTATTTTTACTTGCTGATCTGTCTCCTAGCCTCTGGCCTTGATAAGAAGCATTTACTCATTTTTAAATTCCATCAGGTTTCTTGTGAACTTTATTTCCCTTCTTTGCACAGAAAATTACTGCTGTTGAGTTTTTCAAGAGGTAGATTTAGAATAGAAATTATATTTGCATAGTGTTTTACTAAACTGATGCTTTGTAACGAGCTATACACAATGAGAAGTCTCTATTTTTTTCCGTTTCTTGTGAGGCAGAAACTGTGCTTGGTCCTTAGCAAACAGGAAATCCAAAGTGTCTGCCTTTTCATAGAGTTTCTGATATAGTTAGTACTCTGAAGTTTTATGCTATGTTGTAGAATTGTGAGGTATATAAGATAGGTATTATCCTATTTTAAATATGCAAAAATGGAGGTTAAAGAGACTGCATAATTGGCCTATGGTTGTACTTTAGATAATCACACCATCTAAATTTTTCTCTGATTCCGAGATTCATATTTTTCCCACTATCTCATGCTGTCTTTCAAACTTGGATATTTTATATGGCTTTCAAACTTAAATATTTTGCACAGCTTAAGTCATCTAAGTCCAAACCTTTCTTTTTGTTTTCTTTATTAAGGTATTACATATGTGTCCTTATCCCTCCAGTGCTCCCCATTCCCCCAGTCATGCCTTCACCCCCATGCATATAAGCCTAACCAATGGACACAGACTTTGTGTCCATTGCTTAGGCTTATATGCATGCATACAAGTCCTTTGGTTGACCTCTCTCCTTTACCCTTGCCACCCCCTGCTTTCCCTCTGAGGTTTGACAGTCTGATTGATGCTTCTGTATCTCTGGATCTGTTTTGTTCCAATTGAAAATATATCTTATGTCTGAAGATACAGTGAATAATACAATGTTGACATCATTAGAAATGGAAGACAAGCAGAAGGGAAATTAATAGAAAAAGCACAATTGGGAATAAAAGATCAACTCACAGACCAGCTTCTAGATGTATAAAGAAGAGACCAGGTTACCCCTTCATATAACGAGATGTATAAAAAGGGGACTACGTGTTGCTGGTAGGAAACATCATCTTAAGGTGACTCCAGAGGGAATAAAGGAAGAAATAAATAATTTTATGGCTAGTGATTTCTTTCATCCAGATCTTTTATTATACAATCAATCATTTGTCTGTGACAACCTGCCCATCTCTTTGCATTAAAGTGGTTTGTCCACCTTCGCCATGCCTGCCTTTCTCTCGCACATTAAAAAATGTTTGTTCTTGCAGGAACTAGGGTGAATTTTCCCATTATGAAAATAAGCACAATTCATATTTTCTCTGGCATTTTCAGAAAGCTCAAACCTGTGAATGTAAAAGGTAGACATGAGTTTCTTTGAAAGCCAAACAATCAGCAATAAAACTCTGTGTACAATTTTATTACATAAAGTGGAGATGAAATTATGGGAAAAGAAAGTTATAAACAACATTCAGATCACCGAGAGACTGCCAGTCTGCTTGGGAGTATAAAGTATGTCCATTTGAATAGGTCAATAATAACGTAAAATAGGATAAGATTAAATAGCAAGTGAAGTAGGTACAATAGTAGTCCATAGGAAGAGATGGGTGGGAATCTGAGGTAATTGGAAAGGCTTTATCTTTTTATCTTTTATAAAAGAGAATACCTTTGTTTTGTCTTAAAGGAAAGGTAGGATTTAGATGAGTTTCAGATGGAAAGTAGTTGCACAGGATGGAAATGAGCTCATGGAAAAGTAGGTTGATACAATATTTTTGAAATAAAGGTTTATGTTATAAAATAGCAGATATAAAACAGCACGCTATATTGTATTGCCTGTTAACTTGTTTAAATTCTCTGCCACATGGCTTATGAGAAGAGGACAAAAATGTATATTTATTAATTCATCTTCTAAATATCTATGAGATGCCTACTATGTGTCA